TGATGGAAGCTGTTCTGGGAAAGAGTATTCCAGCAAAGCCATGTCTGGAAGGACTGGGGTGATGTTATGAATATTCTTCATTTTGACTGTCCTCCAGGCTTGAGAGGAACATGGCTGTGCCCTGTGCCAGCCCATCCTCCAACCTGGGGAATTGTAGTTGACCTATCAGCCAGCTCTCTGGTCTGTGGCTGCTGTTGCTGAATGCCAGGTCGACTCTGAGTAAGACCTCCCTCATCTATGAGGAGGAGGCTGATCTGGAGGCTGAGTAGGCTGATCTGATGGTCTGTAGCACTGAGATCTGGGTGGGTGAGCAGGGTGGAGTTGGTCTCACCTAGATGTGCCCCTAGGTACTCGGTGCAGTATCAGGGCAGACTTTAGGGTTGGGAAGGAAGAGTTGCTGTGGTCTATAGATCTCTCTCTCTCTCTCTCTCTCTCTCTCTCTCACACACACACACACACACACACACACTGGGAACCAGTGTGGTGTAGTGGTTTAGAGTGGTAGATTTATAATCTGGGGAACCGGGTTTGAGTCTCTGCTCCTCCACATGCAGCTGCTGGGTGGCCTTGGGCTAGTCACACTTCTCTGAAGTCTCTCAGCCCCACTCACCTCACAGAGTGTTTGTTGTGGGGGAGGAAGGGAAAGGAGAATGTTAGCCGCTTTGAGACTCCTGAAGGGGAGTGATAAAGTGGGATATCAAATCCAAACTCTTCTTCTTCTTCTTCTTCTCTCTCTCTCTTTCTCTCTTTCTTTCCAGGCTCTCTCTCCAGTCAAATGCAGTCAAACACTGCTGAGGGCACATCATGGAACCTAACTAGTGGCAGCGAAGGCAGCAAAGAAGGCATACTTTGCTGCCTCCATTGCATCCGTATTGTGCCATCTGGCAGAGTTTTACAGGACCTCTTGCAATCTGGCTCAGAGGAGGTGGCAGAGCTGACCGTACGTAGCTCACTGTGATTTGTTTGCAAAGCATTTCAAGAACAAAGTAACTTGCACCCACCGGGATCTTGATTCCATTGTTCCAGCAGGTGAATCTGAAGAGGTGTCCAGAGCACCATCTAGTCCTGTTGTGTTGGATGAGTTTCAGTTCATAAGGCTTGAGGATGTGGACAAGGCGCTTGGATTGGTCAAGGATGTTAGTTTCTGTTATCACTGTGCAGCTGCGTGGAGTCACAGGACTCTGTTTACATTCCAGAGACCTTCAAGTCTCACGGGAAAGGGAGACGGGATGTGACGTTAGTGGTTTCCTGTTTCCTTTGTTCCTTTGTTTTCAGTTGCTCTCTGCTTCCATAGAGAGAGGATGTCTTTTCTGTTCTGCGTAGCTAGAAAATAAAACTCTTTACAATGTACTGTCTCATCCTTCCCTGTGCTGGGAACTCTGCTGGTTGAAGAATGTGCCTTGGAGCCTTATCAAAGGCTCAGGTCATTAAACACGTCGGAGGGGGTTTCAAAGGCTCGGTCGAACGGAGTTCCGACAAAGACAACCACTTGTGCTAGGGACTCTCATCTCTCTGGTGGCTCCCTGTTTGCGGAATGCGCTCTCCAAGGAGGCTCACCTGGTGCCTTCATTACAAATCTTTAGCGCCAGGTGAAAACGTTTCTCTATGACCAGGCCTTTGGCTGAATAACATTCTTTTTTTAAAAAAAGTTTTTATTAACAATTTCAACATAATAAATTATCAAAACATATCATATTCATTATTTTCCCCCTTCCCCCTTCAAACCCTCCCCCCCAAGACTTCCCTCAGCTCCTCTCTCTGATTTCTCAGCACATATTATTCTCTGCATGTTATAAAATTATACATATTCTTACATTATCTATCTACCATGTTATCAACCAATAAATTAGTGTATGTTTATTCAAAACCTGCCAAGGAGTCCAATTCATTTTGTTGTCTTTTTAGATATATTGTAAAAAGCTCCCATTCTTCCTTAAAGTCACAGTTGTCCTTGTCCCGCAATTTGTATGTCAATTTAGCCAGCTCTGCGTAGCTCATCAATTTTTCTTGCCACTGTTCTTTCGTTGGGATTTCCTCATTCTTCCATCCTTGTGCTATCAAGACTCTTGCCACTGTTGTAGCATACATAAATAAGTTCTTCATTTTTCTTGGCAGGTCTTGTCCTACAATCCCTAGCAGAAATGCTTCTGGTTGTTGTTTTTTTACAAATGTCATTTTTTTTACAAATGTCATTTTAAACATTTTTTTCAATTCATTATATATCATTTCCCATTTTTTTAAAACTTCTCTGCATTCCCACCACATATGATAAAAGGTTCCTTCTTTTTCTTTACATTTTCAACATGTGTTTGACCCGGTTTTGTACATTTTTGCTATCTGTACTGGTGTAATATACCATCCATACATCATTTTCATATAATTTTCTTTCAGAAGAGAACAATCTGTAAATTTCAGATTTACTTTCCAGAATTTCCCCCTCAAATTGTGTATTATGTCCTATATCCTCTGTCCATTTGATCATGACCGATTTGACCTCCTGGCTGAATAACATTCTTTGGTCTAGTTTGTGTTTGAGGAAGGGGCGTTATTGGTTTGTTCTTGATTTATTATATATTTTGTGATCTCTTTTTGTATTTTTATGTTGCGAACTGCCCTGTGATATAATAATAATAATAATAATAATAATAATAATAATGTCGTACTTTGGATCCCGAACCCCTTGTGAGTTGAACTTTTTAGCTCCCAAACACCGCAAACCCGGACGTGAGTGTTCTGGTTTGTGAACGTTCTTTGGAACCCGAACATCCAACGTGACTTTCACAGTTTCCGATTGGCTGCTGGAGCTTCCTGCAGCCAATCGGAAGCTGCGCCTTGGTTTCCGAACATTTTGGAAGTCAAACGGACTTCTGGAACGGATTCCATTCAGCTTCCGAGGTACCACTGAAATGGTTTATCCAAGCAGTAGAGATTTCTGTTATGAAATCTCTATTTTATATAACCAGGAGATGCAGAGGGTAAGCACTCTTGCAGAAAATTGGCGGTATCAGTAAAGCGTTTCTATTTCTCACATGTTGAGAGATCAGGGAAAGTGTTACAAATTTTGCTTCTGAGACTCTCCTAATTTTGCCTCCAGGGAGAGAGGGGGGCAAAAACTATAAACAGACATGGGTCTCTTCCTTCTCCATTCTCTCATCTTTTGACCCATCCCTGCCTTGACGTCTCATATGTGGGTTTAGAAAAGGAGCCACAACTGAGTTTGTCGGATAAGAATGAAAAACCACCCACTGTCCAAAGGACAATGTGAAGCCATTTCTGCTAGTTGCTTTCTTTCAAGAGCATTAATTAGGAAAAAGAGAGAGTGCCATTTGGCACTATTATTAGTAATTATGAGATAACAAGCATTTCAGAGAAGGAATGAGCAGAAATGGATAAAGCGCGGCAGTTATATAGAATGTTACCATTGTGCAAGCAGGGAATAAAATCCAATTAATTAAGGCTCAAAGATATCTTCCAAATCGTTTTCAGAACTGGGCTCTCATCGTCCTAACCTACAACCCCATTTCCTGAGGAGCAATTCCATTAATGTTAATAATGCTACTTCGGAGTAAGTGAATTTTGGATTGCAGTCTAACAGCAAGATCCTGGGACCAGCTGTGAAGTCAAATATGTGCTGAAAAGGGTACTAACCGTTGCATTTTTTGCTATTTATTTCCTTGCATCTCTTTTAAAGTTTTCTCCCCTTTCATATTTTTACCCAAGAGTTTATGCTAGCAATGTCACGTCTTCCCTGACATTTCAGAGACTCAAGGGGAGGTCTTGCTGACTGACTCTTTATCATTCATTCATCACAGACACAAGCAGCGCATGAGGATCTGATGCACGTTAGATGTGCTTTTGGGGGGGTGTTAATGGGGTAGTACTTCTGGGGGAACACACATGGGGCTGCTTCTGGGTTTGTTTGTCCACCTTTGGCCCCCAGCCTGGACTCGGCTCTCATTTGTGGCTCCAGAAACTGCCAGCATGCGACAGCAGCCACCCTGCTGCATATATTCATGAAAATGCATGTATTGGTGAAAAATAGCGTGCCAGAAATGCGTTGTAGCGGGGGAGATTGCTTTGCAAAAAGGTGTCTAGCAGGTAAAGCTGCATACAAAAATGTGTGGATATGAGGATAAATGTGTGAAAATTAGGATAAATTCACACGAACATCCTGGTGAATTTTCATGAAGACTTAAAAAAATAAGTCACCAACTGATGTGGAAATGTGGAAAAATGAGTAACCAAGAGAAGAAGAAGAAGAGTTTGGATTTGATATCCTGCTTTATTACTACCCGAAGGAGTCTCAAAGTGGCTAACATTCTCCTCCCCCTTCCTCCCCCACAACAAACACTCTGTGAGGTGAGTGGGGCTGAAAGACTTCAGAGAAGTGTGACTAGCCCAAGATCACCCAGCAGCTGCATGTGGAGAAGCAGGGAAGCAAACCCAGTTCACCAGATTACGAGTCTACCGCTCTTAACCACTACACCACACTGGCTCTCATTTGTGGCTCCAAAAACTGCCAGCATGTGACAGCAGCCACACTGCTGCATGTATTCATGAAAATGCATGTATTGGTGAAAAATAGCACACTGAAATTGACATATTTGCTCACCCCTAGTTCCAAGGGGCCAGAATGAGATGCTTAAAGCTAAAAAGCATCACCTTCTCTCCCCCCCCCCCCGATTTAGGGGTTCACGTGCTGTACAGGCTTGCAATCGTATTCAGGTTCCTTTTCTTCAGGTGCAGGTGTGATTTTCTGAATTGTGTTTTGGATGCCACTCTTTTGGTGCAAGGAAACTGTGATCCTGATCGTACTATTCCTACACAGCCTATTCTGACGCAAAGAGAAAACTCTGTGTCTTCCTCTCAGCTCCCTGAGACGGGAGACTCTTCAGTCTCACAAAGTCCCCTTCAAGTTCCCAGGTGTCACGTGACGCTGGAGCGCTCCAAAGTTCACTGGGAGTCCAAGAGGAGATAAAGTGCAAACCACAGGCTGCAGAATGAAGCGTCTGCTTTTCTTCTACATTTTCTTACATCTCCTTGGTAAGTAAAAGATGGCGAGAGAAGCACCTAAGTCTGAAGGATGAGGGAGAAACCAGTCCACCCACACGCCCAACGTTTGTGATGAGCAATGGAACTATGAATCTGGTAGTTTTGTGAGTTATTTAAATTTCAAGCAGGGGAAAAAAATCACTTCCAGATGGACAAAGAGATAGCACTGGAGTGGCAATCTACATATCCAGAGCAGTGCAATTATGAAAGTTGGGTATTTTCTGAGTTTTTTGTTCTGTCTTCTGTCCCTGAATTCCTGACACCCCACCCCCACCCCATGTAAGGCCTGAAGCGATGCACTGTAAAATGACTTCTGTTGAATATGCATGGCTATTTAGCATTCAAAGACCACAATTCCTTACTGCGGGAACCGAGTAAAGCAGAAGACAGAATATTTATAGAAATGGAAAACTGGAATCAAAACTGGACAGCAACAGTCCATGCAAAATCAGCAGCAGTAGTAAATACTAGTACAAATAATAATGTAAACAGAAAACTTGATTAAAATCTAGCTCCTGGGGAAGAGGTTTTTAGAATATTTCTTTGAGCATCATTTTCCTTGTGAAAATTGCTTCCCCCTCCCCAGACTATTTTCCAAAACAATACACAAATTGTAACATGGCTATCTCAAATTCTGTTTTGCAGATCTCTAATGCAAACATGTGTCTGCTAGGGGGGAAATGTGAATATATTCATATAATTCACATATATTTGAACATAGCACTACAAAAATGCACTCTGTTAGGGGAAATTGCATAGAAGAGATTGCTTATGATGCCCTAAAATGCTGATGAGTTTACATTGTTGTTGTTTAGTCGTGTCCGACTCTTCGTGACCCCATGGACCAGAGCATGCCAGGCACTCCTGTCTTCCACTGCCTCCTGCAGTTTGGTCAGACTCATGCTGGTAGCTTCGAGAACACTGTCCAACCATCTCGTCCTCTGTTGTCCCCTTCTCCTTGCGCCCTCAATCTTTCCCAACATCAGGGTCTTTCCTAGGGAGTCTTCTCTTCTCATTAGGTGGCCAAAGTATTGGAGCCTCAGCTTCAGGATCTGTCCTTCCAGTTAGCACTCAGGGCTGATTTCCTTCAGAATGGATAGGTTTGATCTTCTTGTGGACCATGGGACTCTCAAGAGTCTCCTCCAGCACCATAATTCAAAAGCATCATTAGGACTTTAAAAAAAACAAAAAACACTCACAAACTGATGTGGAAATGTAGCAGTCTGAGAGAAACCAAAAGTGACAGATTTTGTCCTTCCCTGCCTCCAACAAATATGCTCATCAAATAAATATCAAAGGCCCTGAGAGTATGGAACGGCCATTGTTTGGAATCTACTCTGTTCTCTTAATCTCAAGCTGATTGTGAACCATAAAGACATCCCTTCTTACTCACAGCTGCCTCATTAGCCAAAAAGCACACAATTTCTGTTGCTTCCTTGCCTCGGACAGTCGAGGAATTAAAAAGACGAAGCAGGATAAGAAATTGTTCTAAGCTTTTATAGAATGTTCGCTCCGGAGTCAGATCTTTCATATTGGACGCATCTAAGACAATCCCAGTAACCTTCCTAGAGCCTCGGAGCTTGGAATCCAACTAATTAAACTTCCACCATCGTTGGCCCACAGGGCACCATTTCTTCAGAAAAAGGCTTTATTATCGTGAGTCGTGCCGCCGCCCCCTTATTCAGCCAGCAGCCTTCAGCTTGGTGTGACTTGGCCACTCACAACGCTTGCTAACTAACTCACAATCAATGGACCAAAGGCGCTTAAGCGCTGGGGGGGCTTCTCTGTCCAGCTTCAAGCAGTGCTTGGAAGTCATTTGCTCATTTTAGGCTCAGAGCAAGATTGGGGTGAGAGAAGGATTATTCAAAGGAATTGGAGTCCCCCCCCATGTTTTGTTTTGCTTGTTTCTGGCTAGAGCTTCCTGGCCGCTAATAAGCGATTTCTGGAGAAAGGCAGGTATATAGGGGATGCGAGGAACAGACTCTCTGTTCGTGCGTTCCTTTGCCATGTGTCTGTTCCCTACATACGGCCATTTGCCCCTACCCAGCCACCCCCAGCTTCTGCCCCCCAAGCTGGCTTCTTTGCTAGTTCTGAGGAAGGGAGGATGGGAACGGAAAATAATTGATGGTTGCTTAGCAACCACCAGGCATGGCCTACAACTTGCGAGGGACTGAGAAGTATATCTGGAGATGGGCAGGCAACACTTGCTCCCTCTAAAAAGGCACCCCCACCCCCAAAGATACACACACGCCTGCAAGAGAAACTGGCCTTGGCAGAGAAACTGGTAAAGCAGACTTTCCCAAACAACGGATGGTCGAGGGAACAGGCAGAGCAGGATGCAGGAGAACCGTGACAGGGCTTCCTGATGTGGGCAGTTCAGACAAGCACACGTGCCCTCCTGAGTTTCGTGAGTGGGATATTAAGGTGTGCTATTTAATTTTTTGCTATTTTCTTAATGGGGGGGGTTGTAAAAATATGTTTAGGGGTGTGAAGAATTCAAATCTGCTCTTATTTTTGTGATTGCACAACATCTCGTTGAGTAAGAAGCACATAAACTGCTTTCAGAAAGCCAAAGAATTTTAATGTTGCCTTCTGAAAATGCCAGGTGACAGTAAACAAATAAACAAGCAAAATGAATATATAATATAACTGCAAGTACTCTGTAATCATTTTTCATGGTTTCTGAGCCATTTTACACGCATTTTACTCACCAAGCAAAACTAAATCATATTAATTTAATAAAAATAGCATTGGAATTACCAAGTCAGGCTACAACTTCTTCTTCTCCTTCTCCTTCTCCTTCTCCTTCTCCTTCTCCTTCTCCTTCTCCTTCTCCTTCTTCTTCTTCTTCTGTCGTTTAGTCATGTCCGACTCTTCGTGACCCCATGGACCAGAGCACGCCAGGCACTCCTGTCTTCCACTGCCTCCCGCAGTTTGGTCAAACTCATGCTGGTAGCTTCAAGAACAGTGTTCAACCATCTCGTCCTCTGTTGTCCCCTTCTCCTTAGCACCCCTCATTTTTGGTAGTTGACAAATTCAACACGCCCTAGTGGGATATTGCCACTGCCGGCCATGCCCCCAGGCCCTGGAGAGGCCTCCTGGAAGTTGTACATGATTCGGCATGTATGAAAGGTGGCCTAAGTGTTTATTGGTACATGTGGGTACAGGTCCTCCATAGAATGGGAACCCATTATCATATTTATATCTCACCTTCCCCCCCTTATGGGACTCAAGGTATAAATGACCACTCCTAATGGCTCTGCACCTGGGAAAATACAAATACTGTGTAGGCTATCTTCCCCCTCCACCTTTTGTGGTGAATCAAAGCTTATGGGGCTTATGGCCTTCAAATGAATGGGTCAGGGCCCAATGGTGACCTATAGTGGTCTCCAGCAGTAAGACCACCACCATATAAAAATATGGTGAAAAATTCAAAGGTGGGCTTTGAATCCGTGTCTGGGCTAAATATGGGTCCCTGTTTGTGGGCAGTTGATTTAGATGAGGAGACTGGTGTGTAGAAGATCTAAGCAGCCTCTCCTCCAACGCCACTACTTAAATGGAAGTGAAACTATTGAGGCAACTGTAATTTAAAGAACACATTACAGTTTTGGTTGTTTTTAAAGCAACATATCAGGAGATCTGATCATGGTTGTACCATGTGGTTTTGCTCCCCCTCACCCCCGTGACTTAAGAGAAATTCAGTACTTAGACTTACTTTTATAGACTCAAAAAGAAAATTTAAAAAGTAAGTGTGAAACTTGACGTGACATTCATGTGCCCAGGTTTCCCCTTCTAAAATAACAGCCGTTGGAGGGGGGAACCCCCTTGGAGGAGACCATTTAGAAGAAGAAAAACTTTACACGTCTTGAAACGTGTAACGCCTTTAACATTATACCTAGTAATTTAGTTTTAAGAGGAGCTCACCCCATTTTTGTTTAATCACAAGTATTACTATGAGTATTACTAGGGATGGGCGAATTGGTCAGTTTCATTTTCTCTCAGTTGCTCATTTTCCCAATCTTAAATTCAGTTCTCCACATTTCCACAGCACGGTTTACAGTATAAAGCCAGAAAAATACATAACACCATAACAAGCAAAACTATGCCACCACCACCCAACTTAAAAGGCCATAGATTGTTTAATTAATGCAATAATAATATAATAATAAATTTTTATTTATACCCCGCCCTTCCCCGTTCAGAAAACCAGGCTCAGGGCAGCTAACAACAAATTTAAAACACTTAATTGATACAACAAAAAACAGCATAAAATACAGTATAAAACGTGAATAACAATAAATTCAGAATTCAAAAATCAATTGGAGGGGGGAATCCATCCAATAAACATTAGATGATCACCAGGGCTAGCTGGCTAAATTAGTCCTATTTGGGCCAGTGAGGAGACCAGGGGAGAATTAGCTGTGGGATCCCAGAGAGGGTAATCTTCATAAAAAGGGGAGGGGGAGAGAAGGAAGGGGAATAAAAGATCAGGCTAAGTTCAAATTGAAAGCCAGGCGGAATAGCTCTGTCTTACAGGCCCTGCGGAAGGAAGTTAAATCCCAAGGCCTGGGAGAAGAGGAATGCTTTTGCCTGGCACCTAGATATATGTACTGAAGGAGCCAGGCGAGTCTCCCTGGGGCGAGTGTCCCACCGGGGGGGGGGGAGGCACCACAGAAAAGGCCAATTCTCATGTTATTTATTACATTTATATACCACCTTTTCTCCCAAGAAGGTCAAGGTGTAACACGGTCCTCCTCCTCCCCATTTCATTCACACAACAACCCTGTGAGGTAGGTTAGGCTGAGAGATGACGGCTGGCCCAAGGAGACTGGCCCATAGCCCACCACTCTAGCCATCACACCACACTGCCTCTGTGTATCATTGGCTCTTGCGCCACCTACTGTCTAGGCTCCCTACCTTCTGTTCAACCACTCCCCATGGGCGCCAGCCATCACTGCAAGCAGTAATATATATATTGGGTTTGTTTCGAGGGGTTGCTGGTGGGGAAAGGCATGGAGTGGATGTCTCTGGCTCGCCATGTTTATCGTCGTGTCCAATGAGGGCAGGTTGGGCAGAAGCAGACACAGGGATCAGAAGAGAGTTATTGAAGCTGCAGGCTGGAGGGGGCAGGAGGAAGTTCCACCAGAGCAAGGAGCTTAATTGTTGTTGTTTAGTCGTTTAGTCGTGTCCGACTCTTCGTGACCCCATGGATCAGAGAACGCCAGGCACTCCTGTCTTCCGCTGCCTCTCGCAGTTTGGTCAAACTCATGTTATTAGCTTCGAGAACACTATCCAACCATCTCTTCCTCTGTCGTCCCCTTCTCCTTGTGCCCTCCATCTTTCCCAACATCAGGGTCTTTTCCAAGGAGTTTTCTCTTCTCATCAGGTGGCCAAAGTATTGGAGCCTCAGCTTCAGGATCTGTCCTTCCAGTGAGCACTCAGGGCTGATTTCCTTAAGAATGGAGAGGTTTGATCTTCTTGCAGTCCATGGGACTCTCAAGAGTCTCCTCCAGCACCATAATTCCAAAGCATCCATTCTTTGGCAATCAGCCTTCTTTATGGTCCAGCTCTCACTTCCATACATCACTACTGGGAAAACCCTAGTTTTAACTATACGGACCTTTGTTGGCAAGGTGATGTCTCTGCTTTTTAAGATGCTCCTCAAAGCAAGCAACACATTATTTCAGCATCAGTCACACAGACAAAAAAAGGAAGATCACATCGTTTGCAAAATTCACCCTACTGGCCCTTAGTGTCACTCACCAATGCAAGTAGGAAGGCAAAGAAGATTCTCGGGCCATGGGGATGACTTAGGCCTCCTAATAAGACATAGCAAGCTCTCTGTGAAGAAGCAAGATACCCTTGGAGGTTTAGAGTAAAGCTCGTGGTGCTCCAATCAGGAGCACTCAGCGTTGTTGCTGGGAAACTGCTCGAAATGCATGTTAATACCACAGTCTAAAAGAGAAGGCTGTATGTGGCTGTGATTTTTGGGTGTGATTTTTGGGTTTTGTTTGTCCACCCTAGACTCGCAGAGAACATGCCTAAAATCTGGAAGGGGCAGAAGTCCTGCCAGCATTTGTTATCTGTCATGTGTGCACACATACACGCACTGCTTCAGGGGGAGGTAAATCCAGCAGAGACGGACATCTTGCCCAAATATGCTGGATTTTGCCTGTTCAGCAACTCCCTCACCCTCAAAGATGCTGCACCAACTGCCCTTCTGACAGTGATCACTGTAAACATCCTTTTTTGGTTTGGGATTTAAGCAACAGGACTCAGGATGCTTCCTCAAGCGTGGCTCTTCTGTGGCCACATTTTGCTTTGTAGATTTTCTTCAACATTTCTAAATAATGGCAGTTGACGATCCTTCGCCCTGATGAGCACAAAGCACTTTCTTGGCTGCCCTCTTCTCAGTAGATTGGGAATGGCTTCAGGTGTGAAAGAGGACTGGACGGGGGCGGGGGGGGGGGGCGAGCAATTGCCATGCACCCCCTGTTTCTGCAGTTAACAGCTTGTTGCCTTTACCCTTCTGCCATTTCTGCTTTGGACGCTGCAGCGAAAGCAAGAACTGCCTGTCAATCTGTGTGCTGTAGTGCTTGCTGGAGTTTGCCAAAATATATGAAGCCATTCTCTGCCTAGAAATCGCCTGCAGACTCGGTTCTAGTCTTTTGTGAGCTGAACAGTAGAACATTGTGGGAACGGCAGGGCAATCTCTCTCTGGCAAACAGCCATAGTTCTGTGGTACAGTATAGCTCCTGGTTCCAATTCCCTACATTTTCACTCAGGGCTAGGAATTCACCTAAGCTTCCTGCTGTACATGAGGCTTATTTTGATCAGAATCGAGTATATACTTCTAGAGTTAACACTAAATTTGTTTTTTTCTGGTAAATGAGCCACCGTAGTAGCTAGAGGGCCATGAAAATTTGTGTCCTGGGCTTTTTAGACTTGTCTACCCATGTGCTATCTGAAACCAAAGGGGCACATTTCAGATATGAAATATATTGGTATTATTTTCATTTCTCCTATCCCACTACCACTGTTAGCTTCTCCAGTGGTCTTGCTCCACAACAGTTCAACACACCTTTACAACATCTGTGCTTTGTTGTTGTTGTTTAGTCCTTTAGTCGTGTCCAACTCTTCGTGACCCCATGGACCAGAGCACGCCAGGCACTCCGTCTTCCATTGCCTCCCGCAGTTTGGTCAGACTCATGCTGGTAGCTTTGAGAACACCATCCAACCGTCTCATCCTCTGTTGTCCCCTTCTCCTTGTGCCACCAATCTTTCCCAACATCAGGGTCTTTTCCAGGGAGTCTTCTCTTCTCATGAGGTGGCTAAAGTATCGCAGCCTCAGCTTCAGGATGTGTCCTTCCAGTGAGCACTCAGGGCTGATTTCCTTAAGAATGGATCTTCTTGCAGTCCATGGGACTCTCAAGAGTCTCCTCCAGCACCATAATTCAAAAGCATCAATTCTTCGGCCATCAGCCTTCTTTACCGACTCTCAAACTTTGAGGTTGTTGAAATATATACAAGAAAATAAATAAATCAATTTGACTCAAATCAATGTGACTCAAATTGGGTTTCTTAGATCCATTTTTTTAAAAAAGCAATGTGGAGTAAAGTTGCTTCTGGGCCCTCTCTGGGATTAGCTGAAGTTTCATTAGATTCATGGTAGATCTGCCTCTGGCTGAGAGAGACCCAAGCCTGAAGACCTGGAGAATTGCTGCCAGCCAGCAACATGTCTGCCTAACCAAGAAGCCATTTCTGCAACGCTTGTGTCCACACAGGCACAGCAGTCCCGGTCAAAGCTTATTGTTATTGGTGTTATGTACTGAAGTTCTCACCCTGGGCCAGCAGGGGGATACTGTAGATAGTTCAGGTCCTCATATGCAAATAAGGGATCGAAAGTGATGTTCAGTGATTGGATAGTTACAGAAAATGGATACTGTTGCATTCTAGTAGAGCTCTATAAATTGTTACATTTACGTTGTACTGGAGCTCTATATAAGCAGGCTGGCTGAACCCTTCAGTTCAGTTCTGTTTTGGCCTGTGAATAAACAAGAGCTGTTTGAAGAATCGCTGTGTCGTCTGATATGTTCACCCACAACTGAACAATTACCTTCTGTGGTTTTTTGGTCATTCTCAGGGACTTCAAGCGCAGTGTACAAACAATGGATTCCAGACACCAATTTTGAAAATGCCTCCAACTGGGATAAGGGCCGAACCCCGTGTGGCAACGATGTCGTCCTTTTTCGGAGCAGCGAGGTACCTGGTTTTGTTTCTTTAAAAAATACACACACACATAAAATTTACTGCGGCAAGTTTTTCTGGCAATTTGTGAAACCGTGTCCCTGCTTCTTCCAGGTTGTGTCAGTCTACGTCCAGTCATCCCACTCCTTGACAGACATGGTAAGTGCACCTGAAATCATGGCATGTAGAATCGAACGCAGGGCAGGTGGGGCTTGTCTACCTGGGAAAGGAGCCCATCTAGGAGAAGGAAAACCCTGGTCCAAAACTCCACTGCCTTGCAGGACATCTTTGGGAGAAGAGAAGGCCAAGGCATAAGCCCTACACAAATGCAGAGTGGAGTCCCTAAGACGTTTTGGTGGCTCACTGTATGCCTTCTTTTGGCAACTGCTGCAGCCAAGCTGGTGCCAAATGTAAATAATAATAATAATAATAATAATAATAATAATAATAATAATAATAAATTTTTTATTTATACCGCGCCCTTCCCGGTTCAAAAACCGGGCTAACAAATTTAAAATACTTAATTGATGCAACAAAAAACAGCATAAAATACAATATAAAACGTAATTAACAATAAATTCAGAATTCAAAGATCAATTTAAGGGGGGAAATCCATCCAATAAACATTAAATGATCACCAGGGCTAGCTGGCTAAATTAGTCCTATTTGCGCCAGCGAGGAGACCAGGGGAGAAATAGCTGTGGGATCCCAGAGCGGGTAATCTTCATAAAAAGGGGAGGGGGAGGGAAGGAAGGGGAAGAAAAGATCAGGCTAAGTTCAGATTGAAAGCCAGGTGGAATAGCTCTGTCTTACAGGCCCTGTGGAAGGAAGTTAAATCCTGCAGGGCCCTGGTCTCATGGGACAGAGCATTCCACCAGGTCGGAGCCATCACTGAGAAGGCCCTGGCCCTGGTGGAGGATAATCTGACTTCCTTAGGGCCCGGCACCTCTAAACTATGATTATTCATGGACCTTAAGGTCCTCTGCGAGGCAGACCAGGAGAGGCGGTCTTGTAAATACGAGGGTCCTAAGCCCTGCTTTCCTTTGGACCCAGTCAGAGAGGCCAAGAGGTTTTTTTGTCAACTGGGCAGCCCAGGACCTCCATGCACACTGCCAGGGAGGTAGGTCACTTCAGTGCTGCTAACACTGAGGTTCTGACTTCACCCCCAGAAGCGCACTCCATTGTTGGTTGAGCCAGATGGATGAAAACAAATCTCAAACACAGTAAGAAACAGGGTAAAGAGTGGGATGCAGGGATTATCTGAGGGAGGGGTGCATTAGGAGCTGAGGGGGCAGCAGGGGTCACGAAGAGGGAAGTGGGTATGAGGAGGGTGCTGGAGGCAGGGCCATCAACAGCTTATTTACAATTGACCAGGCTAGAGCTCAGAGCGAAACACCTTCCTCGTTTCATATTTAAAGTTTTGCTGCTTGTATGTATTTACCGTTCTGGGTCATCACCAGTCACAGGAGAAGCAATTATTGGCAATAGCTACTAATTTTCTTATAAGTTAGTTACCTGCGAGAGGTGAAGTTTTGTGCATGTGTGGTAAGTAGTTCTACATAAATACTTTATGTTATAAATTTCCTTCAGCCTCATGTTTTTGTTACTAAGAACGCATAAACATATTTTTCATGCAACATTCTTTGCTGAATTTTATTGCATTATTATCTTCCTTGGTGGGTCGTGCAAGCCGCTATCCTGAATAATGTTTTTTATAGGGTGGGGAGCCCTGGGGATGAGCTTATGGAACCAAGGGGACGGTGAACTGAAAAAGTTTGAGAACCACTGAGTTAGATGAACTAGCTTGTTGACTATGTTGGAGTAGGACTAGGGGTCCATTTTTCTGTAGATTCTTATTTTATTGTATTAGCTGCAAGTTTTGCCATGTTGGGGGTATTGAAACAACAACAAAATCAACTTTACAGCCGTTTGTTGGATGACATTGATGTCTAGTTTTATAAGAAAGGTATTTTTTAAAAGTAATTCGCATTCACCCTTTAAAAACCACCTTGTTGTTGTTTAGTCGTTTAGTCGTGTCCAACTCTTCGTGACCCCATGGACCAGAGCATGCCAGGCACTTCTGTCTTCCACTGCCTCCCATAGTTTGGTCAAACTCATGCTGGTAGCTTCGAGAACACTGTCCAGCCATCTCGTCCTCTGCCGTCCCCTTCTCCTTGTGCCCTCCATCTTTCCCAACATCAGGGTCTTTTCCAGGGAGTCTTCTCTTCTCATGAGGTGGCCAAAGTATTGGAGCCTCAGCTTCACAATCTGTCCTTCCAGTGAGCACTCAGGACTGATTTCCTTCAGAATGGATAGGTTTGATCTTCTTGCAGTCCATGGGATTCTCAAGAGTCTCCTCCAGCACCATAATTCCAAAGCATCAATTCTTCGGCGATCAGCCTTCTTTATGGTCCAGCTCTCACTTCCATACATCACTACTGGGAAAACCATAGCTTTAACTATACGGAGCTGCCATCAAATAAATTTAATTCTGGTCCGGGAGTGATGTTTTTATAGCATTCATGCACGAATGTCAGTTTTTATAATGTAACAAGAAAGCAGGCTAAATACTAAAGCACCGGCTTTGAAGCTTTCTACACTCACATTAATTTGTTTGCTAATGGACCCCTTTGTCTCTGATGCCGGGCTTTGTGGCTCACAGTTTGCACTGTGCTGTAATGTTGAGCCATCTACAAAGATATACAATAACTGAAATGTGGAGAGTTGGGAAAGGCTGTGGCTCAGTGATAGAACTTCTGCTTTGCATGTGAAAGGTCCTAGTTTGATTCCCAACATCTCCAGGTAGAATATTTGTACTCTTAAAATTTATATCCTGCTGTTCTGCCAGTGCAGAACTCAAGGCAGCTCACAGCATAAAATAAAACAGATACAACAACAACAAACCACAATATAGAAAACCTCACGATTAAATAAATAACCCTGCTGGAAATAGCACTGGAAACACTCACTATTTAAAAGCATGCACACACACACACACACACACACACACACACACACACACACACCCTCAGAAGACCCTGCTACTACGACAGCCAGTTCATAGCCAAAGGCCTATAAGAGTAACTATTTTGCCTGCCTGTGAAAGGAAAGCGGGGGGGGGGGGGGGCGCTACCCTCTCGTGGAAGGGAGTTCCAAAATCTAGGAGCAGCCACCAAGAAGACCCCTTCTGGTGTCCTCACCAAACTCGCCGGTGAAGGTGGTGGAACTGAGAAAAAGGCCTCTCCAGAAGATCTCAAAGCCCAGGCAGGTTCATTCAATGAGATACAGTCCTTTGTTTCTCCTAAACTGCCATCTCTTTCTCAGACACTCAAACCTTAGCTGGAGAAAGCCATGGCCCTATCCAAGCTCTGATGGGCCTCTCGTTCAAAACACAAGAGAGACTCCCTGCTACCAGGAGACCATTGCCTAACCATGAGCTCCCACTGATAAACAACAACAAACCTCCCAGACTGCTAGCCAGCAGTCCAGCCAAGAAAGAAAGAAGGCCACCCATCAGCCATAACATTATAGCTGCCCTCCCTTGTCTTTCTTTTCAGTCTATGATATCTCTGCAGGAGCCCAAAGCATCCAGTTGCAACGATGCAACTAGGGTTGTCATATCCGGAATACTGCAGTTGGCAGCAGTGTCCAGGCAGAAATCAGGACAATGTCCAGGAAAATACAGGCGTATGGCAGCCCATGTCGGCAGTGCTGGTTTTGCTGCTTTTCCATAAAAAAAAAGCTCAAAAACAGCATTTGCCCAAAAAGCTCACCAGCTTTTCTGTCCAGATTTTCCTTGTTTGAAATATGGCAACCCTGGATGCCACTGACTGAGCAGAGCCTGTTTTCGGGCATGTTCTGGAGGGAACAATTCCACATTTGTGAATCGCTACGTGACTGAGTGGTTTTCTCCTACTTTCTTCTGTATTTTGTTGCTTCATCCAGGCGCCCGAGCAAGAGAGCGTCTCGCAAGGATGGGGCTATACTCTGAGATGCCGTTTCCCATCCAAGAATATCATTTTTGACTCCCATGCTCAGCCGTTCTCGGAGCACTTAAATAGCCAAGTGAGCACACAGAGATGAAGCAAAACTACTTTGCAGCAAGTAGCCCTTTGTTGCTGCTGTAAACAACGATTGTGTCAAAATATACGCCTTTTAATTCTCCCCGCCCTTCTGCTTCCAACAGCGCTTGTTCTGGGAAATGGCAACTGAGGTTGCTACGGTGATTTGATTTTTCTCAGCCACTGACTTACCAGCCATTATCTAGCTGAATTCGGGAGAGTTTGTATTCTGCAGTGGCACAGGACAAAATGAAAGGGCTGTCTTGCCCATGCAGGATTCTTCCCACCTGCCCTGGATGTCGGCCCAGCTCTAGGTCCTACCTCCATTGCAAGAGCAGTTGGTGGGGACGCATGACAGGGTCTTGTCAGCTGCTGCACCCAGGCTGTCGTCCTTTCCACCCTGGGAGACCCAGTTGGCGGGTCATCCCAGCTTCTGATTTGATCCCAGAATTTTCCTGTTTCCCCCGCCAGTGCTACTGCTGCTGAGCTTAGGGGGAGGATGTTTATCCTGAGTGGCATTGGGTTACCTCTCCACAACTGCTGCTCCCAGCCTTCTCCTCTGGGCATCTTGTAGTGGCTACTGGAGAGTAGGCAAGGAGGAGGAGATGCTGTACCTGCTGAAACCCAGCCTTGAGTGAGGTGCCGGCTCTGAGGTGCAGGCAGAGGGCTGCCCTGGGCAGGAAGAAAGGGGAAATGGAACAGAGCACAAGGGGCCTTATTTTTTTTTAATGCTTTGTGCATCCACGTCTAATCTTGCCCCTTTCTCAGATTTATTTATTGGTGTGTGGCTTTGTCAGAGACTGGTCTGAGGGGGACTGGACTGAGGAGGGATGGTGGAGACTGACCCACCCTCCTCTTGAACCTTCCAGAGAAGAGGAAGACAATATTGATTTGCAGCAGTGGTTAGAGGAAGGTCACAGCCCAGAGACAGGTGAACAGAAGAGTTGGGAGGTGATGGGAGAAGAGGAGGGGGAGACAGAGACAGAGAGCAGCCAGCTGACACGTTGTCACAGGAAAGCATTCCCAATTCCCCTTCTCCCAGAACCCGGCATGCATTGAAAGTGCAAGAGCAAAGAACTCAGAGACAAATAGCCCCTGGTGGCCGGGGGGAAAGTGTTGTTGCTAGGAAGGGAGGGGTTCAGTAGGAGCAACGCCATTATCCGATCAGCTGCCTTTCTGTCTCTCTGTGTGAATCTTGAACAAATACATTGGCAAGAACGTCTTGTTTTTCCCATTTCTGGCATCCAGCCACGAGGGAGGGGGATTTCCTTGAAGTCTGACAGTACTGTAAGTCTACCAAAGAATAAAATAAAATAAAATCAGGCTTAAGAGGATTTCTCAGGACAGTGGAGGGCATGTGTGCCGTGTCCCATTGGTACTGTGGTAGTGACAAACATATTCTGATTGGAAATGCTCTGCTGAGGGGGGGACGGACAAAAAAATGGAGGGCCGAGGAGGGTCAGTCGGTGGGGAGTAAATAATGTCCCTTCCGCCTGCCCTCAGCCAGTCTGCCCCGCACTTGCTTGCCTATCGATGGCTACAAGCCTTGTGGAGCCAGCGTGGTGTAGTGGTTAAGAGCGGTGGACTCGTAATCTGGTGAACCAGGTTCGCTTCCCCGCTCCTCCACATGCAGCTGCTGGGTGACCTTGGGCTAGTCACACTTCTCTGAAGTCTCTCAGCCCCACTCACCTCACAGAGTGTTTGTTGTGAGGGAGGAAGGGAAAGGAGAATGTCAGCCGCTTTGAGACTCCTTAGAGTAGTGATAAAGCGGGATATCAAATCCAAACTCTTCTTCTTGATGGCTATGCCCGGCCTCTGTAGCTGGAGGCAGCCTTGCTTTTGAATATTTGCTTGTGGGTTACCCACTGGCATCTGCCTGGTCGCTGTGAGAACAGGAGACTGGACTGGATGGGCCATCGGTCTGGCCCAGCAGGATTGGCTGTCGATGTTTGGAAGTTCTAAGGATCCATTGTGTGGTATATGATGAGCTCCTTCCTAGTGTCTGCCACAAATCTGCTCCAAAATACCTCTTTGCATCTTCCAGCAGAGCCTTGCGCAAGTTGAAAATGATTTCTCTTTCTGGGAAGGCGGGCTGCTCAGTCTCTTTCTTGGAAGTCTGGGTCACACCTAAATCACCGCCTCCCTAATTTATTACATATACCTTTTCTCCAAGGCGTTCGGTGTACTAAACTTAGCCCCTTCCATGCCATCGGCTGGATAGCTCAGCTGGTTAGGGTGTGGTGCTGGTAACACCAAGGCTGCAGGTTCGATCCCCGTAAGGGATCAGTTGATCCTCAGGGTCCCTTCCAACTCTATGATCCACACTTTTTCCTCGCAACAACCCTGTAGGCTAGGCTGACTGGCCCAAGTTCACCTAGTGTGCTTAACGGCTGAGTGGGGATCAGAATCCTGCTCCCCCCTAGTCTATCAAATACTCTAACCATTAGTGCATGCTCCCCTTTGTTTTTCTCCCCTTTCCTAATGTCCACTGACAGGAAGCAGACAGAACTAAGCCGAAATAATACAGGAAAATTGTGTGGGGGAAGAGGGTCACTTGGCTTTTAGTCATTATGGGGTGTGTGTGTGTGGTTTTGCCTCTTGCACTGTTAGGAGTGGGTGGGTTGTAAGAAGGTTTGTGTGCAAGTGCCTCTGTTCAAATAGCCACTATAATTTTATGTGCCATAATTTATCCAAGCTGCTTAAACTGCTAATTACTTGGATGTTTTAATAAGACAGCATGCTGTGTTTAACTGGTCTATAAACACCCACATGAGGAATTTTGTATCTCCCTGTGTATGCACTAAAAAAAAAAAAAAAGCATGTGGAATGTTAGCAGACAGGAAATGGACAGGTGGAATATTTGGAAATATGGGCCTTATTATAACGTTAAAGCTGAACAGTTCCAATTCCCGCAGAAGGTTTATGGCTTAATGGTTTGTGGTTATTTCTGGCAAAGCACTTCCCATTCAAAAAGAACTGCTAAGTATCTGATTAGGAAAGTGTTGGAAATATAGACAGCTGCCTTATGCAGAATCAGACCAGTGCTCTGTTTAGCTCAGTACAGTGGACCCTTGATTTGCGAATGCGGCAAACCCAGAAGTGGGTTTGCCGTTCATGCATGCGCAGAAGCGCTCTGCGGCTCTGCGCACGTGCGCAGAAGTGGTCCTCCGGTTACGAAATCTTTGGGATACGGCCAGGCCTCTGAAACGGATCCTGTTCGTAACCGGAGGTACCACTGTATTGTCAACACTGACTGGCAGCCGCTGTTCAGGGTTTTAGGTATGGAACCAAATAACCCAGCCTGAAGCCCTGGAGAGCCACTGCCAGCCTGTGTAGGCAATATTGAGAGAGATGGAGCAATAGTCTCACTCAGTGTGTCGTGTGTCCTCCAGTGAATCTTAACAGTTTGGAGAATCGGGTCCAAACAGATGCAATTCAGTAGAGACAAATGTAAGGTTCTACGCTTTATATGTCCAGCTGTCCTTTGTCAACAACCAATTGTCGCTGTTTTTTGTGTTCAATATATGCTACATGGTAATTTGCAACCAGTCCATGCAGAACGTAGGCACCCTATATATAGAAGTGAGCAAACCAGTGATATTTTAGGGAGCAGGCTAGCGGGCGGGGCCCATGACTTACATCATAGGCGCCTACACAACACAAAACCCTGTTGCTGTATGTAGGTTTTATTTTATTTGTTTTTTATCTTATACTTTGGAAATGTACATCCAGGTTTTTTCCTTTAATTTTTTTGGGGGGCCCCAAGAGAGTGGGGCCCTAAGCTATAGCTTGTTTAGCTTATACATAAATCCGGCACTGACTCAAATGCTCACAAGGGTTCCAGAAGGGTTTTTTCTCCCTGATGGAATGGGTGAGCTCATTCAGACAACCTGATTATTCAACGTTCATACTGAATTGCTTGTGCAACACTTATGTAGAGATTAGAAAACCTCCAGCCTTTATTGGACATCTGTTCTAATCTGCTTGCTGGAGGGTTATACGACAATGAGCATTCACCCTGATTGCATCCTGATTTGCTTTCACAGTGGATGTGCATTTTCCTCTTAACTGGTCATCCCATATGTTGTAGTGCAATTCCCCATGATTTCCATAACCTCAGAAAGTCCTTTAAAAGAAAAAGAAAAAAAAGATGATTTGTTGTGCCAGAATGTACAAACCTAAATTTCCAGTATCAGTTCTCAACCTGGGATTCTGGCACTTAGAGTTCCATTTCTAGAAGGGAAAGATGATCTCGTGGGACGTAGGCAGTGCCCACTGCCAGCACCTGCTCCAAGATAAGCTTTTAGGCCTTGGTATGGCGACAACAGGACACGGGTGGCGCTGTGGGTTAAACCACAGAGACTAGGGCTTGCCGATCAGAAGGTCGGCGGTTCAAATCCCGCAACGGGGTGAGCTCCCGTTACTTGGTCCCTGCTCCTGCCAATTTAGCAGTTCGAAAGCATGTCAAAGTGCAAGTAGATAAATAGGTACCGCTCCGGCGGGAAGGTAAACGGCGTTTCCGTGCGCTGCTCTGCTTCGCCAGAAGCGGCTTAGTCATGCTGGCCACATGACCCGGAAGCTGTATGCCGGCTCCCTCGGCCAATAAAGCGAGATGAGCGCCGCAACCCCAGAGTCGCTCACGACTGGACCTAATGGTCAGGGGTCCCTTTACCTTACTATGGCGACAGCAGAGGGTGCTTGCCCTTTGATCTTTCTGTGAGCATTTGAATCGAATGCACATTCATGCCTTTGTGAGCATTTGATTGGAATTCTTGCTAGTACTCTGCAACTATGGAGCAAGCAGCAGAATGCTTATTCACCCTCATGTCTGGGTAAGTGTGGCTTGGATTGCAGCCTTAATCAGGCCTCATTAAAAATAATAATAATACTATTTTGAATTATAAGTGCTTTGTATTTTATCTTTAAACCATGCTGAGAGCAAGCGCCATCTGAAAATGTCCCCCCTTCCCTTTCCCACTGCACAGACTGCCTCTCCTAAGGTGATCCTAACTGCAGCTCATGCAAACCTTGTCTAAAAGCAAATAATCCTTTTTCCCCTTCCGAACTACTGTTTTTATGCTCGCATGCAAATTGATGCAGACATAATAGATAGAATAATTGGCTAAGGCTCATTCAATTAAAGACTTCTTTAACCGATTGCTTTTATCAGACTTAGGAGAAGGAAACATGGACCATGATAATGGGAGTGTTTCGTGTTTTTGCATCGAAGTCTCTATTTAGGGATCGTTAACTGGTCTCAGCTCCCCCCCCCCCTCACTTCTGCTTACACTGGCTGCAAAAGCAGATTTCATAAAGCTTGATGCCATGAGAAGCACAGCCATCAGGGCACACCTCTGGGGCAGATGGCAGGCAGGAGCCCTATCTGGAGATGCCACAAGAAGAGGCTAGTGACCAGGGGTCAGCAAACCTTTTCAGCAGGGGGCCGGTCCACTGTCCCTCAGACCATGTGGGGGACCGGATTATATTTTGAAAAAAATATATGAATGAATTCCTATGCCCCACAAATAACCCAAAGATGCATTTTAAATAAAAGGACACATTCTACTGATGTAAAAACACGCTGATTCTCGGACCGTCCATGGGCCAGATTTAGAAGGCGATTGGGCTGCATCCGGCCCCCGGGCCTTAGTTTGCCTACCCATTGCCTACCCATAAGGGCAAATACAGGTGAAACTCGGAAAATTATTTCAGTAATTCAACTTAAAAGGTGAAACTAATATATGAGATAGACTCATGACATGTAAAGCGAGCTATGTCAAGCCTTTATTTGTTATAATTGTGATGATCATGGCGTACAGCTGATGAAAACCCCAAATGAACAATCTCAGAAAATTAGAATATTAAATGAAATCAGCAAAACAAGGACTGCAAATAGAGCGATACTGGACCTCTGAGAAGTAGAAGCATGCACATGTACTCAGTACTTGGTTTGGGCCCCTTTTCATCAATTACTGCCTCAATGCGGTGTGGCATGGATGCTATCAGCCTGTGGCACTGCTGAGGTGTTATGGAAGACCAGGAAGCTTCAGTAGTAGCCTTCAGCTCTTCTGCATTGCTCGGTCTCATGTCTCTCATCTTTCTCTTGGCAATGCCCCATAGATTCTCTATGGGGTTCAGGTCAGGTGAGTTTGCTGGCCAATCAAGCACAGTAATCCCGTGGGCATTGAACCAGGTTTTGGTATTTTGGCAGTGTGGGCAGGTGCCAAAGTCCTGCTGGAAAATGAAGTCAGCATCCCCATAAAGCTTGTCTGTAGAAGGAAGCATGAAGTGCTCCAAAATCTCCTAGTAGACAGCTGCGTTGATCTTGGACTTAATGAAGCACAGTGGACCAACACCAGCTGATGACATGGCTCCCCAAATCTCTTTTCTGATGAGAGCAGCTTTTGTATCTCATTTGGAAACCAAGGACCCAGAGTCTGGAGGAAGAATGGGGAGGCACACAATGCCAGATGCTTGAAGTCCAGTGTGAAGTTTCCACAGTCTGTGTTGATTTGGAGCACTTCATGCTGCTATTGAAGCATCCTGAGTACATATGCATGCTTCTACTTCTCAGAGGTCCAATATTGCTCTATTTGCAATCCTTGTTTTGCTGATTTCATTTAATATTCTGATTTTCTGAGATTGTTAATTTGGGTGCTGTATGGTGCTGTTCCCATCAGCCTCTGTTTACTCTCAGGTAGCCCCCACCTGCCTACCTTCTTACCTGAACGCAGTCCAGAGGGCGGCACCACCTGTCTGCTTCCTTTTCCTTCGCCTCGGTGTTCTCCTTGTTTAACTCAGCAGAGAAGAGACTGGGGATGAAACGAGAATTAGCTGGATCTGCTGCAACTGCTTCCACCTCTTCCCACTCCAATAGAAACTGGCCAGTTCTGCATTAAATTTGGGAGCTTCTGCATGGAAAACTCTGCCACTGAGCTGCAAAGTCAAGGGCCACGCTGAGCTGCAAAGTCGAGGGCCTTTGCCAAAGTCAAGGGCCACTCTGCAGAACAAACAGGAGTGCCCCCAAATTGAGCAGGGCTAGCTAACAAACCTTGTAAAATAATCCATGCGGGTCGTCTAAACAGTCTCCTCACCCCGCCCCCAAAAGCTGATTAAATCCAGAGTCTAAAACTACCTCAATGCACTGTCGCTGCCATGAGGCACTAGGTTTAAACTAACCATTGATTCAATTTAAGAGTGATATTATAAGCTGGAAGATGATCTGGAAACCAAATCTTATGAGGTGCGATTGAGGGAGCTGGAGTATGTTTAGCCTGGAGAAGAAAAGACTGAGAGAAGATATTTCCAAAACCAGTGCTGGATTTACGTACAAGCAATCTTGGGGGCCCCAAAAAAATTTAAAGGAAAAACAACAACCTGGATGTACATTTCCAAAATATAAGATAAAAAACAAATAAAATAAAACCTACATACAGCAACAGTGTTTTGTGTTGTGTAGGCTCCTGTTTGTTATGTGCAAATGGCTTTAGATACCTGTTAGGTCCATAAATTACCATATAGCATATATTCAACACAATAAAACAGTGACAATTGGTTGTTGACAAGGGACAGCTGGACATATAAAGGGCTCCATTACCTTCAGTAGCTTAGGGCCTCATCAAACCTAGAGCCAGTATGTAGTGGTTAAGAGCGATAGTCTCGTAATCTTGTGAACTGGGTTCGCGTCTCCGCTCCTCCACATGCAGCTGCTGGGTGACCTTGGGCCAGTCACACTTCTCTGAAGTCTCTCATCCCCACTCACCTCACAGAGTGTTTGTTGTGGGGGAGGAAGGGAAAGGAGATTGTTAGCAGCTTGGAGACTCCTTCAGGTAGTGATAAAGCGGGATATCAAATCCAGACTCCTCCTCCTCCTCTTCTTTTTCTTCTTCTAAATCTGGCCCTGTCCAAAGGGCTGTCACATTAAGATGGAGCAAGCTTGTTTTCTGCTGCTAAAGGGGTAGGACCTGAACCGATGGATTCAAATTGCAAGACAAGAGATTCCAAAGTAAACATTAGGAGGAACTTTCTTATGGCAAGAGCTGTTCAGCAGTGGAATGAGCTCCCTCAGAAGGCAGTGGACTGTCTTGTCATGGGAGGTTTTTGAATGGAAGTTGGGTGGTCGTCTGTCAGGGGTTCTTTAGTTGTTATTCCCCAATGGCCGGGGGTTGGACTAGATGACTCTTGTGGCCCCTCCCAACCCTACAAGTCTTTGTTTCTATGATTCAAAAATCCTGGTCCCCAATGTGGCCAGGGGCAGCTCCTGATATCATAGACTCATAGAGTAGAATTTGTAGACTTGGAAGTGACTCCAAGGGTCAAAAATACAATTTTTAAAAAATCAAATGTGGACATTTGTATTCCAATGCCTCCATGCATATGATTTTGTTAAAAGGCGGCTTGGATGAAGCCCACAAGAATGTGTGTTGCGTGACTTTTCCCGTGGTATTTCCCCCCTCTCATTTGCTCATCTGTCATGGGTACTTTAGCTGAGATTCCAGCATCACAGTGGGTTGGGACTAGATCGGTGTTTTGCACCCTTGGGATCTCTGGCTGTTTTCGGACTACAACTCCCATCATCCCTAGCTATCAAGACCAGTGATTGTTGGGGATGATGGGAATTGTAGTCCGGAGACCCAGGGTTGGGAGCTGGAGACCCAGGGTTGGGAAACAATGGACCAGGTTACCCTTCCAACTTTACGATTCCAGGGTTTTGTACTTGGCCTTATGCCAAATTCCTATAACAAGAGACCAAGGCAACTTCACCAGGTTATTTAGTTGCTGTCAGGCGAAGTGTGCTGGGCCCGGGGGTAACCCAAGCAGCACCATCCAGGTCCAGTCCCGAATCCAAGGGTTCTGCGAGGAGTCAGTCCGACAGGGCCAAGGCAGGACACAAGGCAGGGTCAGGCACAGGGTCTCAGGCAGGTTCTAGCAATGTTGCTCCCACAACCTGGGGTGGGGTCCGACAGGCTTTTATCTCTGTCGGGCTAACGCCTGGTCCTGATCCCCCGGTGACTCACCTCCCTGTCTCGTCCGAAGGCGAGCACTCCTCCTACGATTACTCAGGTCTCTCCATCTCTCAGACCTTAGTCTCTGCAGCTTGGGAGATGTCAGTGGGTTACTAGACCCAGAGGCTGCCTCAGCCTCTCCTGACCCAATTGGTAGTGGAGCAGCTGTAAGTGATTGCCCAGCTGGAGGCAACAAGGTAATCCCTGCATCTGGAGCCAGGGCAGGCTCAGGCCCCTGACTCGGCCCTGCTGGTGCTTGTTGCAGAGGAACCTGTGCAGACTGGGGCTCTTCAGAATCAGGCCCCAGACTTGGTTCAGATGCCGCCTGAGGCAAAGGATTCGGTGCGGACTGAGACTCCTCTGGTTCCAAGTCCGAGCCCGAGTCCCAGGCCATCACACGAAGGGAACAGAGACCTGCATTTATCGCACTAGAATCCTCCAAACCAGAAATCTTTCAAGGGTATAGTCAGATTTTGGGAGGAGGGGAGAGAATCAGGGCTCTGTTTTGAAGTCTCCTCAGTGCCGAGTCTCCCTCGTGCTCCTTTTAAAAATCTCGGCATGTTCGCGCAACGCACATAATTCCGTACGCCTCCCACACTTTCCTGTATTAATCTCGCTCCCGTTTTAACAGTGGCCCATAAACCAGCTGCAAGTGGAAATCTAATAGGAACCGTGATGGAGGAACAGGCGGCCAGAACTTGCTTCCCAGCTGACTGGTTCACCCCTCACATTTTCAAGGAGGGGGCCTGGCATTAAACATTTAAACGGCCCTGGTAATTCTGTCCTCTCCTGCAGGGCTTCCTTTTAGAGCTTAAATCCTGTGAGGATTCCAAGTACCTACAGCTCCCCAATCGAACCTAATTTCTGAAACAGGCACAGAGGAGACAATGAGAGCAGCATTAGCCACCCCCAACCCATTTATTTTTTTAAGTGTTAAAGGAATAGGGCAGGCCAGGAGCAGGGGAGAGCGAAAGAAGCCATTCTTGAAAACCCACACTTCTCTGAATTTTGCAATGCAAGTTCTCCAGCTCAAGTAATGCGTACAAAAATGCATGTGCTAGGATAAGGTCTGCATTTTTTTAAAAAAAGGTATATATTCTTGAAAATAGCATACAAACACTGCATTATATTAGAGAGCATTGCTTTGCAAAAAAAGGGGAGAGGTGTATATTAAGCCAAATTGCATACAAAAACATGTATACGTATGAGCAGAAATCCGGAAAGAAATGCAAATGCAGGGATTCCAAACTGTGGTCCGTGAGCTTCATCCAGGTGGTTTGCAGCATGTCTGTAAGAATAAGCTTAAAAATCGTCCGGCATCCAGCACATTACAATTGCTACGACAGGCAGAAAAATTATGAAGTTGGTTGCAAAGAGCCTCAACAATTTCCAAGGGGCAGACGGGCAGGGGAGTTTGGGAACGACTGTGCAAACAAATTTTCATGAGGATTTCTTTTAAAAATAAAAAAACCCACAACCTGCTGTGGAAATGTGGATAATTGAATTTAAGACTGGAAAAACGAGGACCCGAGAGAAACCATGATTGGCAGATTCAACCACCCTAAGATAGGCTCACCATATATATTTGTTAGCAGATTACAAAGCAAAGCTAGAGTCTGACTTTTGTTTCTTTAGAGCCACAATAGGCAAACTTCAGGCTGGTGGGATCTTTTGGGGGTTTTTTCTAGTGGTCTGACTCAGTGTAAGGAGGCTTCCTAATAGTGATGCAATAGATGCTGCCCTCAGATTCCCATACATGAACCTTGCACTCCTCAACACGTTTGTTACATTCACAGTTTGCCATTTCTGGTGCACAGCCTTTAAGTGCACACCAAGGGAAGGTGGCGTGCGAATCAGCCGCACACGAAACCCAGTGGACTTAGACTGCATGTGTGAAGCTGCCTCAGCCGACCTGTGACAAACAAGAGGTCGCAGCCTGGTGCCACAGGGCTTGGCAGCCTTCGTGGATCTAAGCCCCGCCCCGAGGCTGCGATTTCAAAGAGGCTCTTTGGGTGCCCACAACGGCTTCGTTTCAATCTCGTGCAGAAGTTGCTTAAGCAGGGGCAAAAGCCAATTCCATAGAACAAGCACCATATGGCTGCTGAATGGGGGCATTATGGAAGAGAAAGCTGTGCAGATGTAACTACAAGGAGGGGCCCCCTTTGCAGCGACTGCCAATATATGGGGGTCGCTTCCGCCTTTGTGCGGCAGATGGGGAGGTGAGAGGCAGTCGTGGCGAGCAACACACAATTCCCTGCTCTTGTTCCGCATTCTCGGGGCTTTGCTTTTGTAGATCACGAACGCCGCATTGACAAATCACGTCCCCCTCTTCCATTATAAATAAAGGGCAAGCGTACGTGTGGCTCCAGCTCAGGCCTCTGAAGAAAGAGTTGCTGACAGCTGCTCGTCTGGCATTTCTTCGTCTAACCCTCAGGATCAAGATATGGCCAGAGAAGGAAAACAAAGGAGCAAATAAAGAGGGCTGAATTGTTGGCACCTGACCGAAAACATAGTCTCTCTCTCCGGCAGCTCTTTCAACCATTCCACCCCAAACCAGAGACCCAAGGCCTCTGAGTAGCATCTTCAGGGAACGGTCCATAGCACACTGCATCCTTGCTATTTAGGCAGGCAAGGAGGAGGAAAGCAAACAGAAGAGATGGCTGCTGGGGAAGAGGCAGAAGGTGACAACGTCTAACAAGAGTTTGGGGTCCCGGCGGTTTATTCTTAGCCTCCTAATTGGTATGGGAAGAATGTACCAAACTTCGCTTCAGCATCCTTCAGCTAGCAGGAAGGTTGATCTTGAAATGCCAACTGCTCTCCAGAGAGGCAGCTCCTACCCAGCTGAAATGTTCCACTGAAGTCTTAAGGGCCTCAAATGTTTTCAGCCTTCCCCTTTCCTCTAAAATAGCGGGGATACTGGTTAAAAAGAAGCAGAGATCTGAAAGGGATTATGACAATTCACATTAAGCTGATGAATCAAAACTCAGGCAGAGGCTATTACTGGTGGGGGGGTGGGGGGGTCAGGGATGGGGAAGGAATTTGATGCTGTTTCCCTTTGAAAGCAAACCTGACTATCTCTCATTTTCTGAAACCTGAAGCGAATTGAAACACAGGTATGCCTCAAAATTCACACTTTTGCATTCCCATTTCTCGAGGCAAGTAACGTGTACAAAACAATTATTTCTTCCAATTAACAAGTTGTATTGATTGCAATAAATCCTATACATGGTGTATAAAAATACATATACGAGGGTAAAATGCACATTCGAAATATACATATTAGTGAAAATAGCATAAAAATGCTTTGTATAAGGAGAAATTGCTTTTCAAAAATGTGTTTTAGGGAACACTGCATGTGTACTGGGAGGAGTTTGCACTGAAGTGCTGTTGGATTTTCGTGAGGACTATTTTAATTTTATTTTTTAAAAAGTCCCTCACAAACTGATGCAGAAATGTGGAGCCCTGAACTGACAGTCACCCATCCTTACCTGGAAGTGAAACTTTAATCAGTGACTCCGCCAGAGAGCTGCTGAAATCTGCCTTGACTTTTCCCATGACATGTCCTAGGAAATAATCTAGGTTGTGAATATTTCCTGTCAAACATCCCCTCTCCTAGCTTCTTCCTCTGGGGACATGTACAGACCCACTCTTATCTCAAAGGGTGAATTGACACTACAAACTTCCATTAGTTTCATATCACTTGAACTGATGCAGTTTCTGTCCGAGGGACCTGGGCAACTAGTTTGTTGTTGTTGGCATCCCTGCCTCTGGGGGAGAAATCCAACTGAAGTGTGCAAGCCTGGGCAGTGTGTGTGGAGGTCCTGGGCTGTCTCTGAGGCTTGCTGATGTGGTACAAAGGAAAGGAAAGCAATACAACAGCGTGGTTGCAGGAGTTGCCAGAAGGAGGTCTAAACCACTGAGCCTCTTGGGCTTGCCGATCAGAAGGTTAGCGGTTCAAATCCCTGCAAAGGAGTGAGCTCCCGTTGCTTGGTCCCAGCTCCTGCCAACCTAGCAGTTTGAAAGCACGCCAGTGCAAGTAGATAAATAGGTACCGCTGCAGTGGGAAAGTAAACAGCGTTTCTGTGCCCTCTGGCTTCCATCATGGTGTCCTGTTGCACCAGAAGTGGTTTAGTCATGCTGGCCACATGACCCAGAAAGCTGTCTGTGGACAAACGCTGGCTCCCTTGACCTGAAAGTGGAGATGAACGCCGCATCCCATAGTTGCCTTTGACTGGACTTAACCGTCCAGGGGTCCTTTGCCTTTTACCTACCTACAAGGCGCCATCCAACCATCTTAGAGACTCCACTCCGGATTTGTGTAGGGTTTTTACTCCTTAGCCTTTTCTTCTCCCAAAGATATCCCACAAGGCGGTAGTGGTTTAGGATCAGAGTTTTCTTTCTCTTAGATGGGGTAACTTCTGAGGTCAACAAGCCCCACCTGCCCCTCACTTCCCTCTACAGCACGTGCAGAATATAATAATAATAATAATAATAATAATAATAATAATAATAATTTATTATTTATACCCCGCCCATCTGGCTGGGTTTCCCCAGCCACTCTGGGAGGCTTCCAACAGAATATTAAAATACAATAATCTATTAAACATTAAAAGCTTCCCTAAAGAGGGCTGCCTTCAGATGTCTTCTAAAAGTCTGGTAGTTGTTTTTCTCTTTGACATCTGGTGGGAGGGCGTTCCACAGGGTGGGTGCCATCACCAAGAAGGCCCTCTGCCTGGTTCCCTGTAACTTGGTTTCTCACAGCGAGGGAACTGCCAGAAGGCCCTCGGCGCTGGACCTCAGTGTCCGGGCAGAACAATGGGGGTGGAGACGCTCCTTCAGGTATACTGGGCCGAGGCAAGTATAACTGCCTTCTAAACTGTTGGGCCTGCTGTTGGTCTTGTCTGCTCAATCCTCAGAGTCTGTCTTCACATGGAGGGGAAATCACTGAGGGTTTGAGACCCATCGGCTACCCTCACCTGGTTTAGCTGGCCAGTCAAACCAGTCCCAGGGTGTGGCCGCTGTCACATGCTGACAGCTTCTAGGAGCCACAGGTGAGAGCTAAATGCGTGCTGGGGACCAAAGGTGGAGAAGCTACCCCGGAAGGAGCACAATGTGTCCCCCTAACGGAGTCCTACCTCCCCTAACACACCAAACTTTATTTTCTGATATTTAGTGCCCCACTGAGTCACTTGGAAGGACCCTCTCCGTGTTTTACAAATGCAATGAGATATGTAAAAGCCCTGTTAAACAGCTATAGTTCACAAGGTCCTCTTGGAAGAAGGAGATATTATTCAAGGAATCCAAAGTCCTCAGATGTTTTGGGCCACGACTCCCATCAGTTCTACTCCCATACAATAGAAATGCAGCGCATTTTGGCACAGTGGAAAAGGCCATGACCAGGTGGTCCCTCACCTGCCCAGGTGCTAATTGCTGGTGAGTCACTTCAAGGCCCATCTGCTCTCAAAGGTTCTTGACCTTTCAAGAGGTCTTGGGCCAGGCAGCCCATCAACTAAAATGGTCAAAGGCCTGGAAACGATGCCTTATGAGGAACGGCTAAGGGAGCTGGGCATGTTTAGCCTGGAGAAGAGGAGGTTAAGGGGTGATATGATAGCCATGTTCAAATATATAAAAGGATGTCACATGGAGGAGGGAGAAAGGTTGTTTTCTGCTGCTCCAGAGAAGCGGACATGGAGCAGTGGATCCAAACTACAAGAAAGAAGATTCCACCTAAACATTAGGAAGAACTTCCTGACAGTAAGAGCTGTTTGACAGTGGAATTTGCTGCCAAGGAGTGTGGTGGAGTCTCCTTCTTTGGAGGTCTTTAAGCAGAGGCTTGACAACCATATGTCAGGAGTGCTCTGATGGTGTTTCCTGCTTGGCAGGGGGTTGGACTCGATGGCCCTTGTGGTCTCTTCCAACTCTATGATTCTATGATTCTATGAACTAGAGAATGGTCCTCTGTAAAGTAGGACACATCCCTCCCCCAGCAGTTCATCTGCCCATGTTGTCTCACCCTCCCATCATGTGCAGTGACACCAGAGATCACATCAGAGATAAACAGTGCTGCTTTTGTTGCTTTGTAAAGGACGATTTCAAAACCGTACTGCCAGCTGCTTAGCAAAGGCAGTGGTGTGCTGGTGTGTATGAAAGGAGGAGGGTATATGGGGTTTTTTCTTTTTTCTTTTTTCTTTTTCATTTGCTTCTGAGCAGCAGAAAATTTGGGCATATAAATATAGGGTATTTCTGCTCCAAACCCTTCCTTCCTGAGTTTGATCAATACATCATTTAGCAGCAGTGCTCCCAGCAAAATGAACATCAATTCCACGATTGGCAGCGGCCCAGTGTCGAGAAGATTGCTCCATCAGGTTGCGTAAGAGTAAATGACAGCCAAAAACTGGCTTGGGCTGCCTAATGGTCTATATTTTCAGATGTGCTTTTTTTTGTGGCGCTGCAAAGAAGAAGAAAAATTCAGAGGCTTTCAAAGAGAGGCCAAGCCAGGCCAAGCCAAATGAAGAGATTTTCAAAAGAGAGGGGGGAAATTTCCTTTCAGAGATGAGAGTGGAGCCAGAGTCCCCCTCCACAAGACCCCAACTGTCACCATAGCAAAGCACAACTGGTGCACACAAGGCCTTCAGGTTTTGTTGGATAAATTTTATGAAATGTAAGAGTGTAAGATGGATCTAGCCCAACATCCTGTTCTCAAAGTGGCCAACCAATGCATCAGTGAGAAGCCCACAAGCAGGTTTGTTGCTGTCGTTTAGTCGTGTCCGACTCTTCGTGACCCCATGGACCAGAGCACGACAGGCACTCCTGTCTTCCACTGCCTCCCGCAGTTTGGTCAGACTCATGTTTGTAGCTTCGAGAACACTGTCCAACAATCTCGTCCTCTGTCGTCCCCTTCTGCTTGTGCCCTCAGTCTTTCCCAGCATCAGGGTCTTTTCCAGGGAGTCTTCTCTTCTCATGAGGTAGCCAAAGTATTGGAGCCTCAGCTTCAGGAACTGTCCTTCCAGTGAGCACTCAGGGCCGATTTCCTTAAGAATGGATAGGTTTGATCTTCTTGCAGTCCATGGGACTCTCAAGAGTCTCCTCCAGCACCATAACTCAAAAGCATTCATTCTTCAGATCACAAGCAGGAGCTGAGTGCAAAAGCATTCTCCTCACTTGTGATTCCCAGCAACTGCTCCTGAGTTGGCTCAATTGGCAGAGCAAGAGACTTTTCATCTCAGGGTTGTGGGTTCGAGCCCCACGTTGGGCAACAGATTCGTGCACTACAGGGGGTTGGACTAGATGACCCTCGTTGTCCCTTCCAACTCCATAATTCTTTGATTCTATGAAACTGGTATATTCAGCTGCCTCTGGCACTGGAGGTAGAATTTAGATACACTAAGCTTCATTCATAGTACATCCACTGAAATTAATAAGCACAACGACATTAGGCCCATTAATTTCAATGGGTCTGCTCTGCCTAGGACCCATGTACCTACGGGACCGCCTCTCCTGGGATGCCCCATGAAGGACCTTAATGTCCATAAATGACAACACTCTGGAGGTCCCAAGTCGCAAGGTGGTTAGATTGGTCTCAACTACGGCCAGGGCCTTTTCAGGACTGGCCCCGACTTGGTGGAAGACTGTGTCACAAGAGACTAGGGCCCTGCGGGACTTGACATCTTTCGGCAGGGCCTGCAAGGCAGAGCTGTTCCGCCTGGCCTTTGGTTTGGACTCAGTCTGACCCTTCTGTTTCCCTCCCCTTACGGTTTTGATCTATGGGCTACTTTTAAAATGAGGCTGCATTTTAAATTGCATTTTAAACTGTATTTTAAATTGGTGGGTTTTTTCCCTAATATGTTTTTATTGTAATTTTATTGGTGTTGGCCGCCCTGAGCCCAGCTCTGGCTAGGGAGGGCGGGGTATAAATAATATTTTTAAAAATTATTATTATTATTATTATTATTATTATTATTAAAAACTGAATACCACCCCATTGAATCAGGCCAAAGACCCATTCAGTCCAGCATCCTGTTCTCTTTTTTTTAAAAAATAATATTTATTAATAATTTCAGAATTACAGAAAAGAAAGAAAAAGTAAAAAACAACACTACAATGCATAAAAAGAAGAAAAAACGCAAAACATAAAACCAATTCAACAATATAGCGAAAAAAACAAAAAAGGGGGAAAAAAACCACAAATCCCACATTACATATCTTTAACTTCCATTTGCTTATTTCGTTGACCTCCTCATACCTCCCTTTTTGTATTCTAGTTTAGTTAGTTATTTCAGCAAATTCTTTCCATCTTTCTCAATTATTATTAAATAATTTATCTTAAGAATTTAACCTATTAATTAACTCGACAGATCCTTTCCATCTTTCCCCATATTCTGTTATTCAAATTACCTTAATTTATTTAACCTTATCTTACCATAAAATACCTTAAAGCTTGAAACTTAATACTCAGTTATACATAACTCCTGATATCATTTCTACTAGAGTCATATAGTTTCATTCCAACATTTCCCCTAATATTCATTAATTTTAGGCTAATTCCCTAAATAAAAAATTTTTCTTTATAAATTTTCTTCCAATCTTCATCCAACGTCTCTTCTTCCTGGTCTCAGTTCGTGTCAGTCCTTACTGTCCATTCCATCTAGTCCATCAACCTGGAAGTCTTATGTCCGAGGCCCTTAAGTCTCTTCCATGTCCCTTCTGCAGATCTTCTTCTTCTTCTTTATACTTGCACTTTTCCTTGTCTTTTGTTGGTCTCTTTCTTAATTTCTTTCCTTTCTCATTGAGGAGTAGGTCTCTGGGGGGTTCCAACCCAAAATTATCTCTGTCTCCCTTCATCAAACCAGCCCATTCCCCACAGTCCCACTCCCCACAGTCATCAATATAATCCAAAAAATGTTTACGAGCATATTTTGAAGTCTCTCCAAAGTTAAGAGCCTCCTCAGCTCCAGACTCCCCCTGGCCAACTCCAACTTCAATCTTCAAAAACAGCGGCTTATGCTTCTGTAGGGCCTCGGGCCTCTCCATTTGTATTATTTGAGGTGCAGCCGCAGCCTCCTCCATTATCTTCTGCACTTGCCCAATCAATACAGGTTCCTGAGTTGGACCCTGGATGGTTTCTATATCACTATTCACTATTTGTCCACAGTTATTGGCCACAACAGTCATCAAATCCATTTTCTCATTCATCAAATCCATCTTCTCGTGCATCTGTTCCAACAAAGCATTTGTCTTACATAAAGCAAGCACCAAAACTTCCTTCCAGCTCATATTTAGTCAAGGTCAAAAGGACTAATCCCACGATCTTAATCTCACAGCTGTGGATTCCTCAGGTAGACTGCAGCAACAATTTAGCAAGCTCCCTCTAGAGGAGACAATTTCTATTTGTATCCATCTTTTAAGGCAAGTCCAACAAAGGAAAATTACTTTCATTTTTCAGATATTTTGTTTCTTTAGAATGCAAAAGGCAACATTGGAATCAGTTTATTTCTCTTCTTTAGCTATCTGTCAAAGTATTCCATTCACAGTCAATGAACCTCTCCAACAATTTCTGTCTCTGACACCCCATTCCCAGGTTAGAGACGGTGGAGACTTATCTTTCTTCACTCCCTCTCCTGCAGGCGTCACACAAAGTCCCCCCCCCCTTTTCCCCTGCTTCCAAGGGGGTTCCAGTAGTTATAAATGAAGGAAATTTAGGCTTTTTTAACGACTTTCCAGGCTTTAGCTTACAAGGTTTTTGCTTCAGTCTATATACAAAAAGCGGAAGGCGGACTTCCTGTTTTGAACCTTCCCGCTTTGATGTCAAATTAAGATATTTCTTGATCCAATTTTCCGTTTCTACTCACGGGTACTTGTTTTAAATCCAATTGTCCACAGGAAAAAGTTAGTGCTCTCCGGCGATGGCTGTGCGGCTTCACTCCGTGAAAGTAGCAGTCAGTTCGCAGCACCGCGCCGCTCACCCCACTTCACTCCGGAATCCTAGAAAGGGGTTCCCCGTGAGTAGGGGGGGCGCTCCTGGTGCCCTGCCGAACCCCACGTTCCCAGGCTTCCTCCGCCTGGGATTTCTAGCGGGTCCCCACCTTCGCCGCGGCAGGAAGACCCAGTTTCCACGGAGCCAGTTCCTCCGGTCGGAGGAACTCCGCCATTCGCCGATGGCGCTAACCCGGAAGTCTCCAGCATCCTGTTCTCACAGTGGTCAACCAGTTGCCTATGGCAAGACTGTAAGCTGGGCATGAGTGCAGCAGCGCTCTGCCCTGTTGCAGTTCCTGGCAACTGGTATCCAAAGGCAAATTGCAGTGGTTTTCACCCCTGGGGTGCCTTGAATAATGGCCAGGGGTACCACAGGCAACACTGGCCTCTGTCCCTCTTTCCTTCCCTCCCTCCTCTGCTGCCCTCTCGTATCTCTGCCTCCCAAAGGCTTGCACAGCTGTTTGTTGCAGCAGCCCTGGCTACAAGCTCCGCAGGCAAATGGTGTCTCTGGGGCCGGCCAGGGGTTGCTGGTTACCAGGAGCTGAGGAGGCCTTGGAGTAAGCAAGCAAGTGGGCGAGGGAATCCAGCCAGCCAGTCCACCAGCCCTTGCTGTTGGGAATGGACAGACATGTCCCAGGCCCCTGTGGGGCAGTGTGAGGAGGCACCTCTCTTTGGGGTGGGGAGCTCAGAGACTAGGGGCAGCAGCAGCGGTTGCCCATAGGACTTCCAAGGAGAGGGGAGAGGAGAGGAGGCTGAGGGAACACTCCACAAGGGAGGGTGTTTGAACAAGATTGAGAGGCTGCCAGCTCTGCAGGCAAGGGGTGACATAAGTGTTGGGTTTCTGTTTGTGCCACTGTACAGTGCTTGGGACGCTGATGGTTAAACCACAGAGCCTAGGACTTGCTGATCAGAAGGTAGGCAGTTCGAATCCCCGCGACGGGGTGAGTTCCCGTTGGTTGGTCCCTGCTCCTGCCAACCTAGCAGTTCGAAAGCACGTCAAAGTGCAAGTAGATAGATAGGTACAGCGGAAAGGTAAACGGCGTTTCCATGTGCTGCTCTGGTTCGCCAGAAGCGGCTTAGTCATGCTGGCCACATGACCCGGAAGCTGTCTGTGGACAAACGCTGGCTCCCTCGGCCAATAAAGCGAGATGAGCGCTGCAACCCCAGAGTCGGTCACGACTGGACCTAATGGTCAGGGGTCCCTTTACCTTTACCTTTACAGTGCTTGGAGTCACAAGACTCTGTTTACATTCCAGAGATTCCAGACTGTTGGGAGTCTCATGGGAGACGGGAGACAGATGTTGATATTACTGGTTTCCTGTTCCTTTGTTCCAGTTGCCTCTCGGCTTTCACAGAGAGAGGATGTATATTTCATTTCTGTCTGCGTAGTTAGAAATAAAACTCTTAGCAATGTAGCTCCTATTTCTTGTCCTTCGCTGCTGCTTGGATACTCTGCGTAATGAGGGAATGTGCCTAGCGCCTCATCAAAGGCTCAGGTCGTTAATCACCGTCGGAGGACTCGACCAGAGGAGCAGCTCGGCTGAACGCAAGTCCAACAATAAGTGGGCTCCTGAGCCCCACGGGGTGCTGCAGTAAGAATGTAGTTGGTCAAGGGAGCTGTGGACTCAAAAACGGTTGTAATCCTCTGGCATATTGAGTACAGATGCATGTTGAATGCAAAGTCAAACAGCACCAGGAGGGGGTCTGGTTGGCGACGACTGCTGTAGAGCATGAATAAATGAATGAAATATATGGATATATACATGCATAGCTATGATACTGATTTCAGTCCTGACCTATGTTCCTCATAAGCAGTGCTGTTTCTTTCCTGCTGCAGTCTGGCTTCTGACAAAAACTACATTATTTGCCTTGCAGTCCACTCTGGTGGAATTCCACATAATTCATGCAGTTATTGTTACACTATTCGACACCATCCATTTCAGTGCAAAGGAAACACAATGCAAATTGGACGGGCGATGGGGGAGTGAGTAAGCAATTACGTATCCTTTGTGGACTGAAAACAGCAACAGCAATTATTGATCGTAGTTGCTGGATTGATTTCTGTTCTGGACATGGGAGGAGTAAGTGAACACCAGCAGTTTCCACTCCTGTTTCCGCTGAAATTCTACAACATCTCTTCCTGGAAGGGTCCGTTTCTCAAGTGACCATTCGCACTCAGCCACAGACACAGAGTTGCAGAATCCAAGCACCTCATTTCTGTTAATGGCACGGAATATAAAGTATGTAGCTAGAAGCAGACACTTCTCAGCGGCCAGCTCTTGGCTGGCAATAAATTAACCACAGTTGTCTTTTCTGGCAGTCAGTCCTGGTGGCTCAAAGGGCAGCAAATTGCCACCTGCTCCTCTGGGTCCAGGCACTTTGCTCCTGACGCCGAGCACGTGGCTTCTGTGGAATCCCATGACTGACACACCCCGTCAAAGAATTCTGAGCTCTCAGAGAGGGCAGGAGTGTTTCTAGGAAGAAGGCCATCTCATCGCTTCCAGATCTCAAGTGACACCAGAATTTCTTCAGACTAGCACTACTGGTTCTTTGGTCATTTATTGCGCCACCACGGTCTGCAACACATTGCCTGGTCATTTTTATGGAATCTGGCAGGCTGCGCCTGTTCTGCTCATTCAGTAAAAGCCATTAAGCTTCATCATTACTGGGATTTTTATCTGTTTATTAATGCCTTTCAGTGCGTCCAGCCTCATCCATGTTTGGGGAGGCTGGCTGGCCGGTGGCACATAGCTGTGCTAGTGGGATTCTAACAGGAATGCCTTTAGAGCCATCAGCCACATTCCTGCTAGTGGAAGATTAAAACCTGCCCAAGCGCATTTGCAGAGGTGTACAGATCACAGCTCCTGTTTACATATCTGAATTCTCTCTTTCTCCTCCAGCCTGCATTGACCTGCAACAATAAGCCAGGCTTTCCGCCATACTGTGGTTTACTGTGAATGAGCGCATTGCTGGTGCTCCTGCTTTGTTCCTTCAATGTTGTTGTTGATTGAATTTATATACCGCCCTATACCCAGAGGCCTCAGGGCGGTTCACATGTTGTGAGCAGGGAAAGCAAGCCAGATCCACACAGCCAGAAGCAAGCCAGGTCAGCGCGAAGAAGCAGAGGCAGTTGCCAGTGAAGTTAACTATTCGAGGAAACAAACGTGCAACCCAGCAACCCTTCCCAGTAGCCCCTATGGGGGACTTGCCAGTTGCCTTCCACCCTTTGTAAGACTCCTCCTCTCCTGGATGTTTCCCAAGCAGTGTGTCTACACACTTCTGGTCTCTGTTCTGCTCTCCTCATTATCCTGTGTGTTCTTGGAGACCCGGGGAAAGAGGGAGCTTGTCACAACGGGAGAGGCAGATGTCCTGGGATTCTGTTTCAGCCTTGAAGTCTGAACAGTGATAGCTGTGGTGTGCTGGGCTCCTTGGAAACTTGATCTGCCTCTTGGTGAATAGGAGGTGCTGCTGGTCTCCTCCCAGGGAGGAAATGGCTGGGGCTGCCCTCTGGCTTCTCCTAGGCTCTGCACCCACATGGCATGATTCAGAATGCCCCCCCAACAGCCTTTGATTCCCACTCTAACCCCCAGGTGAGATTGATTTGATTCCCCCTGTGTTCTCAATGTACCCGTATTTTTCGCTCTATAAGACGCACCAGACCACAAGACACACCTAGTTTTTGGAGGAGGAAAACAAGAAAAAAAATATTCTGAATCTCAGAAGCCAGAACAGCAAGAGGGATCGCTGCGCAGTGAAAGCAGCAATTCCTCTTGCTGTTCTGGCTTCTGGGATAGCTGCGCAGCCTGCATTCGCTCCATAAGACGCACACACATTTCCCCTTACTTTTTAGGAGGGGAAAAGTAAGTATTATAGAGCAAAAAATACGGTAGATCTTCACCCCCTCCTCCTTTCCAATGTCTTTATTCTCCTCTTCCTTCTGATGTAGATCTTCTCTCGCTCCTTCTTCCCTGGCCAAAGGAGGCACCATTTTGTGGTTTGCCTCAGGTGCCAAAATGTCTTGGGCCAGCCTTGGAGGCAGAGCATAGCCACCATCGCTAGTGGCAGAAGGGCTTTGCATTTACTGCCAAAGGGAGAACTGAGAGAATTCTGTCATTCTTAAAAAAAATATGGAGATCCCTAAAAATAGCACATTCATCCTGGGTAGAACATTCAGAGTGTGCAATAAAACTATCTATATGTTTAAAGTAAACACGCTGAATATTTATATGCCGCAATTATGACTATTCATATCTGCTGCATTGCAATTAACTCCAATTAATAATATTCATTAGTGTTCTTCCAAGGCTGTAATTCATGATTTTAAAATAGAGATGCATCTGCAGAATCTTGCAGTGGAATAGAGCGTCTTCCTTGGCTATCCACTTCTACTTGCACAGTGTAAATTCAGAATGTTTCTGGATTTTATGGGTCTACTCTTGGGAGACCAGTGAGGAAAGGAACTGGTCACAGCAAGAAGAGGGAAGTTCCCTGGCTTCTTCAGCAGCCTGCCTCATCTCTGTCTCCTGGCCCCTCTCTTCTTCTGCCTCTGAGTCTGGACTGTCCTCTGTGTTGGGAATCTGAATACGTGCAGTTACGCACACAGAGTCAATTAGGGTTTGGCCAACAGCCAAGGCAATGTGAAGGAGTAAGTCTGCCTGGTGATACAGAGGCATGGAAACAGCTCCATGATTGGTCAAGCTCTCTCAGGGGAATAATTATTAATGGCCTACTAACTGGAATGTGTTAGTATGAGGTTGAGTTCAGGAGTTGAGAGTTGTGTGAGAGAGAGCTAGTCAAAGATCTGTGTTCTGTTCTGTTCCTGTAAATAGTCCGCTGTATATAATAAACACCTAACTACAAGTTCCTGGTTCCTGCTTCGTCCATCCTGTCTGCAGCCAAGTTGCCAATTGCTTTCGTGAACTCTGCGTTTACTCTGCTAGGTCTGGCTAAGGCCCTGCAACTAGTCAGAAAGTTGCGAAACACCAATAGGTTTTGCCAATACTCTACCCCAGCCTCTTCCTGCTCACTAAACCCTGTTGCCTCTTCAGCTTCCATCACCTCTTCCTCCCAGTCCACTCCCTCTTCTCCCTCTGACCACTCATCGTTGTCCCACCACCAATCCCCTGGCTCTGAGCCTTCTTCCCTTGCTGGTTCCCCAGCTGGTGCCTGCCACCATTCTTCTGCATCCAGCCAGTCCATGACAGTCATCTGTGCAGGGATCTTTTGCCCAATGTGGGGTTCGAACCTGCAACCTTGAGATTAAGAGCCCCATGCTCTACTAGACAAACCTAGACAGCATCTTAAAAAGCAGAGACATCACCTTGCCAACAAAGGTCTGTGTGATGGCCTGGGATTCAGATTCAGATGCTGAACCTGAGGAATCCCAGCCTGCACAGGATCCCCTGTCTCCAGAACCAGCTGAGCCGGGGCTGGGGCATGAGCCTGAAGGGTCCTCACCTGTGCTGGATCCTCAGGTGCAGGCATCAGCTGAGTCTGCTCTGGCTCCTGAGGTGATGGAGGATGCATTGCCTGCAGGTGCTCTACTCTCAGCCCCGTCAGGGGAAGCTGAGGTTGCCTCTGGGTCCGGTAACCCTCCATCCTCTCCTGGGCTGCAGAGGCTCAGGGCAGAGAGGCGGAGGGAACTAAGTTCCCACAGGAGAAGTGCTCACCTCCAGGCCAGGAGAGGTGAGTCACCAGAGGATCGGGGCCACCCTATGCCTTGGGGCAGATAAAAGCCAGCCCCAGTCTTGGAGCAACGTTGCTGGTTGTCAGCCCCTGCCTGAACCCTGCCCAGCACCCAGCTTCGACTTTTACAGACTGCCTTCATTTTGCTTCATTGACCACGGACTGGACTTGATTAACTCCCAGGACCAGCACAGTCCGTATAGTTAAAGCTATGGTTTTCCCAGTAGTGATGTATGGAAGTGAGAGCTGGACCATCAAGAAGGCTGATCGCCAAAGAATTGATGCTTTTGAATTATGGTGCTGGAGGAAACTCTTGAGAAGAAGAAGATCAAACCTATCCATTCTGAAGGAAATCAGCCCCGAGTGCTCACTGGAAGGACAGGTCCTGAAGCTGAGGCTCCAATACTTTGGCCACCTCATGAGAAGAGAAGACTCCCTGGAAAAGACCCTGAAGCTGGGGAAGATTGAGGGCACAAGGAGAAGGGGACGACAGAGGACGAGATGTTGGGACAGTGTTCTTGAAGCTACCAGCATGAGTTTGACCAAACTGCGGGAGGCAGTGGAAGACAGGAGTGCCTGGCGTGCTCTGGTCCATGGGGTCACGAAGAGTCGGACATGACTAAACGACTAAACAACAACAACATGCTCTACTATATATGAAACGGCTGTACATATATGTATTCATGGTTGATGTTCTTATTGTTCAATTCCTGCGAGGTGTTTCGTTTGAAGCAATTCGTAAATAAAATAAATTAATATGTTGCAGTATAAAGAGTAGCTGCAAGAAATGTTCTCAGGGCACACAGGTCTTCCCTGATGAACAAAGGCACTACAGCCTTTGAACCTTTCCCCCTATCTTGCTCCACTCCCATCGTTTCCCACCTCCCTGCTGAAATCCAAAATGGCGCCCCTGGGTCACTTTATGTCTTGCTTGCTTCGGAACCCTCTGTCTCCTTATTTCTCTCCAGGCGGTTCTGTTCTCTGCAAGAACAGGCTCCCTGCAGCCTGTGGGGTGAGCCCCCTTTCTGGAACTGTAAAGAACCCAGCAAAGTCTCTCCTTGCCTCTGATCTCTGAAGCTCCTGCTATAAATCACGGAAAGGCAGATTTTTCCTGAAATGCTGGGTCAGTGTTACGGTGTCCTGCGCAGAGATTTATGAGCGCTGCCACGGTCACAGCTATGGACAGCCAACAGAAGGATGCTGACAGCTCAGGGTATCTTAAGACTTCTCAGGAGGACAGAGCAGAATGCATTGCTGCGGTGATTCAAGTCAGTCAGCATGATGGCGTGAAAAACGGCTTAGATAAATTGGATAAAGTTAAGGCTTGGGTCCAGCGCTTGATTTTGGACTCTGTCATGCTCAGCCAGGTTCTAAGCCCGATGGCAAGCAGCTGGGTCTGGGAGTTACAGTTTTATTCAATTTAAAAATAATAAAATAAAATAAAATAAAATAAAAAAATAAAAAATAAAATAAAATAAAATAAAATAAAATAAATAAAATAAAATAAAATAAAATAAAATAAAATAAAATAAAATAAAATAAAATAAAATATTTCCCATACTGTCTTGGAGTAAAGATGGGAAGCTGGAGCTGGCTGGCAGGTCAAATCCTTACCTCCACCCTCCATGGGCCATCTTTGGCAAGTGGGAGGAGCCTCTCACCTGCCAATAACCTGACGTCATTATGACTCCAGACGTCAACTTCCACATTTAGGTCCATTTGGAGGTGCTGTTTGCAATCAATGCTACTTGGTAAGGAAGTAAAATTGAGCACGAAAATCGCATAGGGAGTCCTCTGGACTTGAAGAGGATGTTACCAGCAATGTCTCGCCTGTGGAAGTCCACAAGCTTGTGTAAGAAAAGGGCAAGAGGCAATGAAGAGAGATGAACAATTTCAGTTTGTTATGCTATATGCATTTGGGATGGCTACAGTAGCAGAAGAACAACAGACCTAAGTTTTTATTTTATTTTATTTTATTTTATTTTATTTTATTTTATTTTAATTAATAAAGCTACTTTGCAGCTTATGGACAGTTACCGTAAGTCCAAGGAACCGGCGGTGAAAAAAGACTGTCACTCCACGTACTTTGAGGAAAGAGGTTTTATAAGGACATACGAAATGTTGTGAACCGGCCCAACAGACTGTGTGGTGTAACAGTAAAGGCGTAAATCATAAAGAACTGATCTCAGTGCCTTTGCTGGAAGAACCTCTTAAGAAGTTTGCAGTTAATATATGAGAATATAATGGACATTTCTTGGTTGTGGTTGGGTACTTCTCTTACTGTCAGAAAGTTCTTCCTGATGTTGAGTCGGAATCTCTTTCCTTGTAACTTGAAGCCATTGGTTCGAGTCCTACCCTCCAGAGCAGGAGAAAACAAGCTTGCTCCCTCTTCCATGTGGCAGCCCTAGAGATATTTGGCTATCCTTTCTCCTCTCAGTCCTCCTCTTTCCCATGCTACGCATACCCAGCTCCTTCAGTCCTTCCTCATAAGGCTTGGTTTCAGGCCCTTGACCATCATGGTCGCCCTCCTCAGCGCACGTTCCAGCATGAATGGGGGATGGGGTACCTACTTAGGGCACTCTGGGCATTGGTGAACTCTAACTCCCACCATGAAAAGCAATGACAAACCTAGACAGCATCTTTAAAAAGAGACATCACCTTGCCAACAAAGGTCCGTACAGTTAAAGCTATGGTTTTCCCAGTAGTGATGTATGGAAGTGAGAGCTGGACGGTAAGGAAGGCTGATCACCAAAAAATGGATGCTTTTGAATTATGGTGCTGGAGGAGACTCTTGAGAGTCCCATGGACTGCAAGAAGATCAAACCTATCCATTCTTAAGGAAATCAGCCCCGAGTGCTCACTGGAAGGACAGATCGTGAAGCTGAGGCTCCAATACTTTGGCCACCTCATGAGAAGACTCCCTGGAAAAGACCCTGATGTTGGGAAAGATTGAGGGCACAAGGAGAAGGGGACGACAGAGGACGAGATGTTGGGACAGTGTTCTCGAAACTACAAACATGAGTTTGACCAAACTGCGGGAGGCAGTGGAAGACAGGAGTGCCTGGCGTGCTCTGGTCCATGGGGTCACAAAGAGCCGGACACGACTAAACGACTAAACAACAACAACTCCCACCATCCCAGACCGTTGGCCACGCTGGCTCGGGCTGATGGGAATTGGGGTCCACCAATTTCTGTTGGGCTACAAGTTCTCCATCCCTGACATTCACCACACAGCAAGGATTAAATGTAACCAGAGGAAAAGAGATGCAACAGGGAGCTCAACTGCTTTGCTGCTTTCCCAGCTGCAGGCTGCTGTGTCCGCTATGCTGCTGTTCTAGACGGTTCTTAGCAACACACCGTTTCCACTAGCGCAATTGTTGCGTTGGATTTCTCTGTTGCACAACATTAAAACACACATGCCGGCTAGTGCACGAGCCCACAAGTGCAGCTTATGGTCTCAGCACCCCTTTCCTTTCTTCCCTTTGATCATGCCCAATTTCCCCTACATATGAAAAAGGTCTACGGTTTTTCTGAATTGGTAGCCAGAAGACACAGGCCCAGCCTCTTTATCCTTAAATTACCTTTTTTCCTCCCCCAGCTGGAAAGGGAAATTGCGCCTCATTCTAGGCAGTACAGATAGCTCTGACCAACTGCTGCCACCTGCAGGTGAGAGCTGGCGAGGACAGACGAAGGCAGCTCGAAACAGACCGAAAGTAATTAACTGGGTAACAGCAGAATCTACATTTCTTCTTCTTTTCCTTCCCCAGTTCTAATCCCAGAGATGTGGTCCAGGGCAAAGAGACATGCTGGAAGCTTCTATATTAAGAGTCCCACATTCCCCCAAGAGGCACCTTAATCAGCGCCAGGCTAGCTAAATGGCTCTCGCTCTCGCTTTATGGCGGGAGAAGGGAACTCGGGGCCCAATCAGCGCCGTCACAGAGGCTTGATTGCAAATGAGCTCTTTGCAGCACTCCCAAGTGCTTCCAGCATTGCAGAACAGCATGCTCTGATGATGCAGTCTGTGACAGGAGAGCAGGACAGCTCTGGCACGACTGCAGGCAGAGCAAAGCAGAGAGAGCTTTTGGCTCGGAGGAACCAAATTAAAACGACTGCATAGCAGGAGGCATTTGATCAAAAGGCCTCTGCTTTAAGAACTTAATTCTTCCCTGCCCTTTTCCCATCAGCCTTTTTCCGGTGTGGTGTCCTGAATACTTTTGAAACTGGGAAGACTTGGGCTTGAACCCTCCGGGACCTGTGGGTGAACCTCTCTCTCTCTGATTAGCCTGTTGCCACATTGGGTTGTTATGCGAGGACAAAGTGGGCTCCCTCTGCTGCCCAGTTTATGCTGCCCTGCCAAATGTGCTCAATATACAAGCCAACTTTCACCATTCAGATGTTTGGGACTCCAATTCCCACGGTCAGTAGGCAGCCATGATGGGAGTCATCATCCAGAGACGAGAGCCAGTGTGGTGTAGTGGTTAAGAGCGGTAGACTCGTAATCTGGTGAACCGGGTTCGCATCTCCGCTCCTCCACATGCAGCTGCTGGGTGACCTTGGGCTAGTCACACGTCTCTGAAGTCTCTCAGCCTCACTCACCTCACAGAGTGTTTGTTGTGGGGGAGGAAGGGAAAGGAGATTGTTAGCCGCTTTGAGACTCCTTCGGGTAGTGATAAAGCGGGATCTCAAATCCAAACTCCTCATCCAATGACATCTGACACAAACTATTGCAAACTTTGTGGTAAAAGTAGCCGTGTTGGCCCCTGAGGAGAATTCGAAAATCTGTATTAGGTTATTAGGTCAGCTAAAATGTTCCAAAACAGTGTGCAAGCTTTTGCCATCTAGAATACAAAAGCTGGTGCGCTGTTTTGTGACACTTTTGGCTGGCCTAATCAAGGTCTTGCCCTATTATGGGTTTTGAAATTTTACAGTGCAGTTGTGGTAGCACTGAGTCTGACCTTTGGAGAAATACTGCCCTGATTCAGACATTGTGCCAAATCACGGTTTGGTGCTATATGAACGATCCTGGGCCTCAGTGACCCAGTCCAGTTCTGTCTAGAAGCAGGCTTCCACCAAAGCAGATAGCTTTTCTGTCTAGTTGGGGATTGTCTACCCCAGGGGTCAGCAAACTTTTTCAGCAGGGGGCCGGTCCACTGTCCCTCAGACCTTGTGGGGGATCGGACTATATTTTGGAAAAAAATTGAATGAATTCCTATGCCCCATAAATAACCCAGAGATGCATTTTAAATAAAAGGACACATTCTACTCATGTAAAAACACGCTGATTCCTGGCCCGTCCGTGGGCCGGATTTAGAAGGTGATTGGGCTGGATCCGGCCCCCAGGCCTTAGTTTGCCTACCCATGGTCTACCCTGACAGGCAGGGATCCTCCAGGGTCTTAGGCAAATGGTTTTTCTACCACCTGCTATCTTATTCTTTGAACTGGAGATGCTAGGCCTTGAACTTCTGCATGCACTGGACGTGCTTCATCACTGAGCTGGTTTGCAAAGCAATAACAACCTTCCCTTTGCTCCCTAACAGAAAGGCGAGAATCTCAGCACAACAGGAAAGGAGAGAGCATGAGACAGGCGAGGAGGGAGCACTTGTCCTACTGCTTTCTCCTGGGAAAACCTGTTCTTTACTGCTGAATCGCAGGAAACGTCCACTGGGTTTTCTGCAAATTGATGGTTGCTCCGGTTTAGCAGTAAAGAGTATGTTTTCCTGGGGAATGCAGCAGGGCAAACGAAAATCCTCTTGGACCCATGTCTACAAAGCACAGAGCCAGCAGAAAACCTCTTGGACCCATGCTTTCTAAGCATGGGGCAAGCAGAAGAGTGGATGTGCCCTCTGACACCCAGACAGCAAAAGTCAGCATCATATTTGTGCAAACTTTGAGTCCTCTGGCTTGGCATGGGACTCTGCTGCACTTCAGACTACGTGGGCTGGCCATTGGGAATGAATCAATCCACGAATTTATGGGTTGCACCCAATGTAGTGCCAAGTTGAAGTCACGTAGCAGTACATGAAATGTTTTGCTCCAGGGAACATTATTGCACCAGAGAATGTGCAAGCAGGTTACCTTTGCTGTGCAATAGAGAGCACAATCAGTTGCCTAATGGTTTTCTGCTAGCACAACGGCTGTGTTGGATTCCTTCATTGTGCAATAAGCAAATTCGCCTGTCCACTAACCCAACAGCCCTTGGGCTACCGGACAGAGGATTCTGGGTACAGTCCTATATTATTAAAGCTCATCGAGTGTGGAAAGGATTTATGGAGAGGAGCCGTGTAAGAATGTTGTTAACGTCTGGCAGAACAGAGCCTCAAGATGCAACCTTTCTGCCTTTTGTTTGTTTTTTCAGTACATCCCACTGGATGGAGAATTCATCCTGGCCCCCGGAGCTGGGTTTGCAGCCTTCGACGGCAGTTTTGATCCAGGATGTGAGACAGGTATTGTGCTCGACCTACCGTTCATTAGTCATGCAAATTAAGCGCAGAGAGAATATGCCTCCGTTACGCTGCTGCTCACGAGTCATTCTCCCAGTCATAATTAACTTTCCCCTGGAGCCCCCTCCCCCAAAGTTTCGAAACTAGTCAGAGCTTTCCTTTTCATAATTGGGGGTGGGGGGAAAGAGAGAGAGAGAGAGAGGAGGAGGAGGTGGAGGAAATGGTAAGCGTTGGTTGCAGGTGTTCCTCCAGGACTGTCTCCGCAGAGGTTCCCATTGAAATGAGTTGTTTTGCTCTTGCCAGAGAATTGCATTCATTTCGGTGCGGCTTACATGGGGGAATATTCCCAGTGGGATCATGCTCATTGTTTGCCTTTCCATTGCGTCTAGTACAGGCATAGTGAGACTGAAATCCACGTTCTCTGGATTCAAGGCCTATAACGAAAAGGATGCATTGGGCTTAACTTAATCTGGAGCCAAGTCTTGGAACCTATGGGTGGTACCCAACTAAATAACCGAGCAAGCAAAACGACTTCCGCTTGTGCAATGGGACTCCCCCTGCCTCTCTTCCCTCTGCTCATCTCCCGCACTGTCCAAAGGACTAGCACAACCTAACACTATTTTGGATGCAGTTCATTTTTTTGTGGATACAGGCGACTCCCACGGGGGTTAAGTTCTGAGGCACCGCGTGTTGTTTACGTGAAATTGCATATATTGGGAACACCATCAGAAAAGCCTGCAAACACCCTCTAAACATCTGGAAACCTTTGGAAAACCCTTTGGAAAACCAACAGCACTTACCAGATGCCAAACTAGGCCTCAACGGTCAGTGCAAGGGCTCCTGGTATTGCACTTGCAAAGACTTGTGGGGTTGCCAGGTGTGGGAGCCATGAAGTCATGGCAAAGACTTGTAGCGCCACCTGGTGCCTCGCTGACCTCGGTGACCTGCATGTCCGTGCCTTGCAGTGTATTAAGTGCATAACCTTATATGGCGATGGGTGGGTTAAAGCCATGACCGGATGTAGGTAACGTGAGACTTTTGCAAACGGCCATGCGAGAGGAGAGAACAAAGGATAATAAAAGATACCGGAGAGGAGAGAAGTTCGAAATGAGCTGCCCTGCATCCAGAAAATACTGCTGTCTCACTGTGTCCTTTTTTCAAATGCTATACAGCACCATTTAATGACGGCTGGACTTCCGTCAGCCAGGTGCTGCTTTTGTGCTCTTTTTCATCCTTTTCGATCTCTTCAAGGGCCACTTTTATTTTTATTTTATTTTTTAAGTTTTCCAGTTTTCCATTCTTATACAGTAGTTCTGTTTGACTTCCCACCCAAGCATTCCATGACAGTTCTTTTCACATCTTGGCTGCATATACACCAGTTCATTCACCTTATTTTCCACACTCTCGTATTTTTAATATTGTCAACTGTTGGTCACAAAGTTCCCCTTACCTGGAATTTATATTTTAGGTCGAATATTCCCCCAAGTGTTCCCACCCACTCCTCATCTGTTTATCATCTTGATTTCTTATTTTAGATGTCATACTGGCTAGTTCTGCATATTGTTAGTTTATATAGCCATTGTTCTTTCCCTGGGATCTCTCTCTGTTTCCAGCATCTTGCATATACTATCCTTGTTGCTGTCGTTCCATATAGAAACAAGTTGTGGGCTTTCTTTGGTAATTCGTTCCCAATTATACCTAGAAGAAATGCTTCCAGCTTCTTGGGGAAAGTAAATTTTAAAAATTTTCTTTAACTCATTGTACACCATCTCCCAGACCTCCTTTGCCCCTTTGCATTTCCCCCATAAATGAATAAATGAACCAGACATTTTTAGCACAATTTTGAACCTCTTTTGTACATTTTGGCCAATTTTTTGACCGGTGTCAAGCATCATCCATATTGCATTTTGTTGTTGTTGCGTATTTTCACTTATTTGGTAACATTCCAAGAAGTTCCTTGTTGAGTTCCATAATTTTCCCTGCTCAGCAGTTAAAATATTACGCCCAATATCCATAGCCCATTTTTGCAGTTTTTAAATGCACTTCCGGGTTTGGTGCAATGCGCCTGTGCATGATTGCATGTCTACTAGATGCACATAAATGTGGAGTTGCCTGTACTAGAATGTCAGCACTTATGTCGATGACTCCCTCCTGCTAGGTATGTTTGAACTTATGCCTCACGGCCAGTGCCATATTTACGTATAACCTAAAAAAGTTATAGCTTAGGGCCCCACTCTCTTGGGGGCCCCCCAAACAATTAAAGGGGGGAAAAAACTGGATGTACATTTCCAAAATATAAGATAAAAAACAAACAAAACCTACATACAGCAACAGTGTTTTGTGTTGTGTAGACTCCTATGATGTAAGTAAAGGGCACCGCCTGCTAGCCTGCTCCCTAAAATATCACTGGTTTGCTCATTTCTATATATAGGGTGCCTGCATTCTGCATGGACTGGCTGCATGGCAACATGTGCAAATGGTTTTAGATTCCTGTTAGGTCCATAAATTACCATATAGCATATATTCAACACACAAAACGGTGACAATTTGTTGTTGACAAAGGACAGCTGGACATATAAAGGGCCCCATTACCTTCAGTAGCTTAGGGCAGCCTTTCTCAACCTGTGGGTCCCCAGATGTTGTTGAACTACAACTCCCATCACCTCTAGCTAGCAAGGCCAGAGCTCAGGGATGATGGGAGTTGTAGTCCAACAACATCTGGGGACCCACAGGTTGAGAACCGCTGGCTTAGGGCCTCATCAAACCTAAATCCGGCCTTGCTCACGGTGCACGGAATGGGATGGCCCATGAATAGCAGCCCTCCGCTTAAGTGAACTGGGAATTCCCTTTACCCGCATCTCCTTGTCATATCCAGATGGAACTGCATGGTGCAGACGGAGCTCCACACAGGGAGATGTGCATGTATGGAGCTCTGTTGTGTGGAGACAGAGGCTGAGGCTTTATCTGTAGATGAGTGGGCAGGATGCCTACGGCCCCATGCCATCTAAGGAGACCAGAAGTCAGACCTAAATTCTACACCAAAGCCCTTGACGTCCTTCGTTCTTACGGGCCTGCTGCGTTATGCGCAAATCTGTGACAGCTTCGTTAATATTGAACGGGAAGAAAGTTGTTAATGAATTAAATATGAACCTCGGCAAATAGACTGTGTACAGCTGCCCCTGTGTATTGTTTATTTTCATATTAAATTCCCCAGCAGAGGAACTATGGGATATAGTTCGTGCATGGCATGTTTACAATTGCACTTGCAGAGAGCCGGGTCTGGGGTGGGGGCGGCGGCAGGGGAACCAGTGGCTGATACATTGCTAATAAAGTTGTTCCGGTTATCGTCATCCATGGCTTTCCCCAGGATTACTCACACTTGATGTTTGTGGAAGATCCTCCCCAGCGACTTCCATAAGATCTGTGCAGCGTTCTTGTAATATGTCTGGGATAATAAACCAGAGGATAGCCGCGTGGAATCATAGAACTGTGGAGTTGGAAGGGACCATGAGGGTCATCTAGTCCAACCCCCTGCAATGCAGGAATCTTTTGCCCAAGGTGGGGCTCGAACCCACGTCCCTGAGGCTGAGAGTCTCATGCTCTACCGACTGAGAGCTAAACTACTGGATCACACCACACCAATCCAGGCTGCATACGCACCATGCATTCAACACACATCACTTTCTCCAAAGAACCCTGGGAAGTGTCTATCCCACACTGAGAGCTATAATTCCCAGCACCCTTAACAAACTACAGTTGCCAGAATTCTTTGGGGGAGTAGTCATGTGCTTTAGATGGGTAATATGTATGAAGCCACAGTAATCAGCTGTGGGCTATCACCTTGATCAGCGGTTCTCAACCTGTGGGTCCCCAGATGTTGTTGGACTACAACTCCCATCATCCCTGAGCTCTGGCCTTGCTAGCTAGAGGTGATGGGAGTTGTAGTTCAGCAACATCTGGGGACCCACAGGTTGAGAAAGACTGACCTAGATCAAAGGTGCAGTTAATGCACCTTGCTTCCTCTTAAGAGTGGCCAGAGGGGAAGCAAGGCTGAACTTCCTTGGGAACAAGACAGGGATGGACCTCAGCCCCCATTGTGTGCATTCTCACAAGGAAGGGAGAGAGGGAAGATGGAGGGGGTGTGGGAGAAGGAAGCATCTGGAGTGACATCTCCACCTTTGCACAGATAACCATAACATTGTAAAGTTGGAAGGGACCTTCAGGGTCACCTAGTCCAGGTATCTTCAATCTCTTCTGACCCATGACTCACCTTTAAACCAAACATGCATTTAGGGGCCCACCATATATTTGCATGGTGGCAGTGCTCCTGTTGCAACCCATCTTGGATCAAGCTGTGACCCACTAGGGGGTCACAGCTAAAAATTAGCTGCTGTTTCTTTAATGCTTAAAAAGCTGGGTCAGCATGAGTCAGCGGCCTGCACAGGGTTGTATATAGAGAGTGAGAAATGTTAGCTTGTTGTTGGGTTGGTTGGTTGGTTGGTTGGTTGGTGAAAGCTGGTAGTGTTGATGTGTATAGTTGGTCAGTCGCTTTTGCAGAAAGACTTTAAAGAATAAAAACAGAAAGTACTCTGCAAGGATACTTTTCTCGTGGACTCTTTTATGCCGACAAACTGGAACGTGTCCAGAGGAGGGCAACCAAAATGGTCAAAGGCCTGGAAACGATGCCTTATGAGGAACGGCTAAGGGAGCTGGGCATGTTTAGCCTGGAGAAGAGGAGGTTAAGGGGTGATATGATAGCCATGTTCAAATATATAAAAGGATGTCATATAGAGGAGGGAGAAAGGTTGTTTTCTGCTGCTCCAGAGAAGCGGACACGGAGCAATGGATCCAAACTACAAGAAAGAAGATTCCACCTAAACATTAGGAAGAACTTCCTGACAGTAAGAGCTGTTCGACAGTGGAATTTGCTGCCAAGGAGTGTGGTGGAGTCTCCTTCTTTGGAGGTCTTTAAGCAGAGGCTTGACAACCATATGTCAGGAGTGCTCTGATGGTGTTTCCTGCTTGGCAAGGGGTTGGACTCGATGGCCCTTGTGGTCTCTTCCAACTCTATGATTCTATGATTCTATGGTTCTATGACAAGGGTCCGAGGACCAGGCTGAGGCGACAAAGGGAGGTCAGAACCGTTTTTTGGGTTTTTTTACAAACACTGACAGTCCTGACCCACCAATTGAAGACCAGCGGTCTAGTCCAACCCCTTGTACAGTGGGGGATCTTCAACTGCAGCATCCCTGGCAGCTGGCAGGAGAGGCCGATGTCTTCCATGACAGCCTGTTCCACAGCTCTTAACATCAGGGCATCTCTCCTGATGTCCAGGCAAAGTCTGGTTCCCTCCCTTGGAACACAGAAAGCTGTCAGACCACTGGCCCATCCACTGGTCTATACTGGTTGACTGAAGCTCTCTGAGGTTCCAGGTAGTGGGCATTCCCAGTCCTTCCTTTAGATACTGGGGACTGAGCCTGGGACCTCCTGCATAAGAGCAGATGTTCTACCACTGGGCTACGACCTTTCCCTTATTGTTCTAGGCCTGTTCATTGGAGCCATAGAGAAACAAGTCTGCTCCACATTCTTCAGATAATTTGAAGACTGCTATTATGTCTCCCCTTCATCTTCTTGTCTCCAGGCAAGACATAACTTGCTCATTCAACCTGCTCTCTTAGCGACTTGATTTCCACAACCCTCAAAATCCTGGTTACTATCTCTTGGAATACTCCAGATTGTCAATGTCCCCCTTAAAGTGTGGCTCCCATGATTGCAGACTTCCCTCCATATTATGTAAGGCCAAGCAACACAAATTTTGTTGTTGTTTAGTCATTTAGTTGTGTCTGGCTCTTCGTGTCCCCATGGACCAGACCACGCCCGGCTCTCCTGTCTTCCACTGCCTCCCGCAGTTTGGTCAAACTCATGCTGGTAGCTTCAAGAACACCGTCCAACCATCTCGTCCTCTGTCGTCCCCTTCTCCTTGTGCCCTCCATCTTTCCCAACATCAGGGTCTTTTCCAGGGAGTCTTCTCTTCTCATGAAGTGGCCAAAGTATTGGAGCCTCAGCTTCAGGATCTGTCCTTCCAGTGAGCACTCAGGGCCGATTTCCTTAAGAATGGATCGGTTTGATCTTCTTGCAGTCCATGGGACTCTCAAGAGTCTCCTCCAGCACCATAATTCAAAAGCATCAATTCTTCAGCGATATATATATATATGGGAAATTCAATGGAGAACAAAAAAGAATACTGGAATATTTGAAATAAGTTAGAAATGCGCTATATTTGTAATGAAAGCTCAGATGGTCGGAATTTCAGTGGATTTATGAGCTTTGCTATTAGAGGTTCTGTTCTGCAATTTACAATATCAGTATGGCATGGGTGATTCCTAGGGTCCTTGTTCTCATTTATTTTTAATTATGAAAATCGGAAGTCACCCATGTGCAGCGGCTGGCCATGCAGATGGGTGAGTTTACCTCATGCACTTGCCACGCTTTAAAAAAGAAATCTTAGTATTAATTATAAACAAATAAAAAGAATAAATATCAGTGAAGCAGAACAGACTCCACAAGTTTCTCCCTCCCTCCCTCCTATTAGCTTCAGAAGTCACCTTTGCCAGTGCAGATAATTTCCAGTGGTACGACCCCACCCTGTGGCGTGCTGCAACCTCATTGGACAACCTCGATCGAGGCAAACACATCTTCTCCGTGGATGAAGAAAGAGTCCCGTGCCAGTACGATGACGTTATCTTTCCGCCCGAAACGTCCTTCCGTGTGAACATCGAGTCGTCTGAGCAGGCCATACGGCTCAGGAGCATTTCAGTCCTGGGGCAGGTAAAACAGGGCGTTTTGAGATGAAACCGTGGCTGCTTCACCATTTTCTGTTTTGCGATTCCAAAAATAAAATAAAAGATTGTGAGTGGAGATGAGCAACTTCCTCCAGATTCACTGTGAATCGCCTGGGGAGGGGAACAGGTATAGCCCTACTGCTAGATTAAAGCAGCAGCCCACGCCAGCTAAGCTAGCATGCTCTGGGGGAGGGCATGATCTAGTCTTCACTACTGAAGGGTCCACTATTGAAGAGAGTCAGTGTGGTGTAGTGGTTAAGAGCAGTAGACTCGTAATCTGGTGAACCGGGTTCACGTCTCCGCTCCTCCACATGCAGCTGCTGGGTGACCTTGGGCTAGTCACACTTCTCTGAAGTCTCTCAACCCCACTCACCTCACAGGGTGTTTGTTGTGGGGGAGGAAGGGAAAGGAGAATGTTAGCTGCTTTGAGACTCGTTAGGGTAGTGATAAAGCGGGATATCAAATCCAAACTCTTCTAAAGCTTCCCTTCTCTTTCCCAGGTAATCACTTACCCGGTTTGGGGGGAGGAGGCAGGAAGACTCTAGGACCTTGTCAGAGTCCTCATGCCTCCTGGCTGAAGCCTGGCAAGCACTTACCAGATTTGAAAAGAACACTCTTCAGCTGCGTACCCAGTGCCCCGCACTCTTCGTGATGCCCCAAATCCACTTCTGTTCTTGCATGCACACATGCAAGCAGACAGACATATATGCACACACAGAGCTACACATCCTCCGGTGCCGTCTTGGAAGGTCGGGAAAAAATTGCTTGTGATCGAGACCTCAAACTGCCAGTTAGCCACCTCTGTATTAAGCGCATTGGTGGTCTGAAACATCCTTTTCTCTGGCACTGTGATAAAGCGACATCACCATGTCAAGCAGCCTTCACACATGAAAAGCCTCCCTGTGTTCATGCACACTCTCGATTTCAAGTGGCCTAATTTGCATGAATCAAGCCTTATCCCTCACTGTTGTTTCGATGCTTATCCAAGGTCACAGAGTCTTCCCTTCCAATAGCAGCTGGTTGCTATTTCAGAATCACAGCAGTTTACAATGCTTAGACATAAAAACAGCTGTACGTTTAATCTGATCATGTTGCTTGTGATTTTTCTTGAGGGAACTGTTGATTTCTGAGTTTTGTTTTCCCCCTGCCTCCCCATTGCCGCCACTTTCACCTGAACGGGAATTAGAAGTTTACCAGTGACAACACCCTGGCAGAGTATATGCAGAGCTCTTCTGCAAAGCTACAGTTCCATGGACAAGGGGCATTCCAGCTGTTGAACACCAGGTGCCCGGATAAATCGGGCTGCGAATGTGGAAATGCTGCGGTAAGTTCTTGGCCATGGGCATTCTCTGAGGCACTAGGTTCTGTTATCAAGAGACTTCAAGATAGGAGTTTGAAGGAGTCTGGCCTATTGAAAACCCACATGAGCACAGTTATATACTGCTAGATTATTGAAGCTGATTCACTGAGAATACTTTGCAGAGATATAAGGATCAGTGCAGCCAGTGAAGTCTTCTGGGGGTCTTTTTCTGCATAACCAGTAATAATAAATAATAACAATAAATTTTTATTCATACCCCGCCCTTCCCGGTTCAAAAAATTGGGCTCAGGGTGGCTAACAAGAAATGTAAAACACTTAATTGATGCAACAAAAAGCAGCATAAAATACAGTATAAAACGTGAATAACAATAAATTCAGTAAAGAAAGGAGTAGGGATATTCTGTCAGAGAATTCTGACAGAAACGGGAGGCATTAGGTGGACAAACATGTCCATGAGGGCGCAAGACTGCCAGCCGAACACATGGATTGCCAACATGGCACCTGTGGGGACAGGTGTGCCTGCAGAGATTTTCCTTGCTGGAATTAGACAACAACAACAGCAGCTTTTGCCCTGCCCATCTGAATGGGTTGTCCCAGCCCCTCTGGGCGGCTTCCAACAGAATACACAAAAACAGTACATCAGACAAAGAAATTGAAAGAAAGGCTCTCCCTTCTCCCGGCCTAACTGCTCTGTAGGGGTGATTTCAGGACAGTTGTGGCTGAGGAGAAGAGAGTGGCAGTGATAATGGCTATGTTCTGCCTCCACTGTTTGGGGCAGCAATGTTTCTGAATACCAGTTGCTGTAAACCACAGGAGGAAAGAGTGCAGGTTCGATTCCCCGCTCCTCCACATGCAGCTGCTGGGTGACCTTGGGCTAGTCACACTTCTCTGAAGTCTCTCAGCCCCACTCACCTCACAGAGTGTTTGTTGTGGGGGAGGAAGGGAAAGGAGAATGTTAGCCGCTTTGAGACTCCTTAGGGTAGTGATAAAGCGGGATATCAAATCCAAACTCTTCTTCTTCTTCTCATTTTCCTACTCATATTGAAATCCTGCCCCTCAATAAGACCAAATTTAGATTAAATGTTTAGGGGGGTGCGTACCCCCCCAGGAAAAAAAGCACTGGGTATAGTAGTCATTGTCTCAGCATTGGAGATCTCTGGAAAGCAGTTCATTTGTGCAGGCGGAAACCTTTTTCTTCACTGAGTAATCTACCTGCTCTTGTTGAAGGACCACGACAGAATCTGTGCTGCCTTGCTCCAGAAGTCTGGGAATCAATGTCCGCAGGTGATGTGCAAGGACCCCCTGAAGCCCGTTGGCCATTGCTGTGAAATGTGCGGTAAGTGAAGAGCAGCTTTGTTATAGCTGTTTACAGGACAAGGGGGGCAAATCAGTTCGCCTGCAATTCGCTCTGCCAACAGTTGCAATTGCAAGGATTTGGGAAATACAGCATATATTGTATTTTGAATGTAAAAGGCCCTGGGTTCAGTCCTTTTTAAAAAAATTAATCAATTTTTCGATACAAACATCAACCGCAAAAGACACATACAACAAAAACCATAATAACAGTAATAACACAATTTGACAATTCAGATTTGGATACACTGATATACCTCTGACTACACCTTTTAACCTTACAAGTTTTATTTGGAAATTGATTTTAAGAATAATTTTTTATTAACCGACCAATCACATCAAATCAAACCAAATTACATAAATTCCAAATTACACAGCCAAATTTTAAATTTTTGTTGGGGGTACCCATATTTCAAGTTCCGAAGGGATCCAATCAACTTCTTGCTTCTTACTGCTGTTTTAATGTCCACAAATCTAACCTTATGATGTTCACAGTACTATCTAGTCCTTTCTTATTATTTTCCCACATCTCTTGTTGTTATTTTCATATATTTTTCCGTTCTCTTTGTGACCTCTGATAGTCTCCGCAAGCTGGTTAGAACAGTTTGTAATCCTGCGTGGATATTATTATTTTTATCCAGTAGCCATATCCAGACATTTTCCATATAACATCACTTCCATACATCAAAACAGTCTTAGCGTCATTAATCTTCACCAATCTGCCTCCTTTCTCAAAACCTCTGAGGAGATTCACTAGGAATGCAGTCTGAAAACAAGTCCGTTCTTCCTCCCGGCTATAAATCCTTTGGCAAGATGGCGACTCCGAATTAATTGCTGCGCCATTCCCAAAAGCTCTTCTTGCTTCTTGGTCTCCATAAAGCATACTTTTGGTTAAAGTTTATCTCCACAGGGACCTTAATCATCCTGCTTGGGTCAGTTCAACCGATGGTTCTAATGAGGAGGGGTTCTTGTAAATCACATAGAAGGAAAGTAAAAAAGGTTCCCCCCCCCCATTCAGCCCCGTTGTCAACATACCCCGCCATTGGTGTATCTTGATCGTAAAATATTCCTCTTTCTCCAGCCCGTCGTCTTCTTTCGCAGAGGTCACTTAAATTAGCAGACTTCACTCCCCTTCTTCACTTGAAATATGTGCATTTGCTTCTTTTGTAATTAATTATTCCAAATTGCTGCAGCTAGTGCGCGATCAGAGACAGCGTCCAGGAGAGCTGAGTGTCCACACGGGGCATTCTGCCTAGGGCCCTCACCCCCTTCTTTCGAATTAGGGGGTGATTTATGGGCACAGCAGGCAAGGGCAGTGTTCCCCATTTCCTTGGGGCAACAAGGGAGGCTGCCTACTCCCATAACAGCCTCTTAATTACCCCGTGTGGGTCGGAGAGATGGTATTGTCGGCCATCTTCCAATGCGCCCCCTAGTGGCCCCCCATGACTACACCTTTTAAAACAATATTTTTCTCACCTCTCTCTTCCCTCTACTTCCCACCACTATGTGCCTTATCGCTTAAATATTCGTTCCAGATTTCTTCATATTTATCCATTCTTATTTTGCTTTGACATGCAATTCGTTCATATGTAGCGAATCTGCCCATATTATCAATCCATGTACTCAATGGAATCTTTTTGTGGCTCTTCCAATTCATCAAAACAAGTGTTTTTTTTTTGCTTCTAATATAGCACGGTACATTTTTTTTGACCCCCTGAAATCTCCCACATTTCTGGAATATAATTTAGAATTCAGTTTCCCTAAATAACAATTTCTTTTTATTACTCTTGCTATAAATATCCTCACCTCACACCAAAATGATATTATCATCGGGCCCCAGGTTCAGACCTTGACATCTCCTATCTGAGACTCCGAGAGAGTCACTGTCAGTCAATAACTCTAAGCTAGACGAGCCAGTGGTCTGACTCAATATTGAGGTCAGCCTAGATAGCTCAGCTGGTTAGAGCACGGTGGTGATAATGCCAAGGTTGCAGGTTCGAACCCCATATGGGACAGCTGCATATTCCTGCATGTCCCACTCCCAAGAGACTGCGATCTACTCCCAATATTAAAAAAACTGACGGTGATCTGCCCATTGGAGGGAGGAGGAGCGTGCGTGGGGTGGGTGGAAGGTGGCAGCTAACTGGAAGCGGGGGGAGATTACCAAGAGTTGTTAAGCTTCTTTTGGGGAGCTTCTTTTGGGGCAGAGGGTGGTGACATTCCTAGCCCTCTTCATTTAATACCATGATCGACCAGGATCACCCACGATCGACCAGGATCACGCCGGGGATCTACCTGTCGATGGCTGTCGACCGGTTGAGCATGTCTGGACTAGATATTCAGGGTGCCTTCCAATTCTATGATTCTATGATATAAGGCAGATTCCCATGTTCCTATCTTAGGGCTTATCTACATCTACTTTTTGCCCCACTCTTTCTAGGCAGAGGTCTGTGCTTTAACACGCCATGTCTGAGTTTGTTTTTTTCCCACCCCAAGCTTTCCCCATGCAAATCCGTTCTTCTAAGCTGAATTGGAGCAAACGCTAGTTGGGGTTTTCTGCTGATTGACGTTTGCTCCAATTGAGGTTTAAAGAGCAGATTTGTGCAGGGAAAGCTTTGGAGCAAAAGGGCGGGGGGATGGGATGGTGTTTGGACACAGAGCTTTAAACTTCAGACTGTGCCTGGAAAGAGCAGAGGGAAGCTAAGTGTGGATTAGCCCTTCATGGCAATATGTGTACTGCATTAAAAGAAAAGCTGGAACAGTGCTATCTGTTGAAATTCAATATAAATGCAAACTTTTCACATTTTGAACAGTTCCAGATGTTGCTTTTGAAAATTGACTTGAGGTGAGTTTTTTTTTTAAGAAAGAAGGGAGCAGGGCTAGGGGACCTTTGACAATGGGAGTCAATAATAATAATAATAATAATAATAATAATAATAATAACAACAACAATTCAATTTATATACTACCCTTTATCAGGAAATCCCAGGGTGGTGTAAACCTTAAAAACACATTACAGAACATTGATGAGAAAAACAAAATAAAAAGTTGGCTTTGAAGTCCAGCAACATCTGGCAGGCTACAGGTTCTCCATCCCAGCTTCAGAACATGATCTCTCTTGGTCTGTGGGCAGGCACATTTCATAGATGGCTATCCAATTGGTACCCTCCCTCCTTTTCAGCATCTTTCCTGGGTCCCCATCTATGTACATACCTGGGGTCTCATCAACAGTTAACTCAGGAGGACTTATAAGTGAAAATATTGAGGGGGGCGGGAAAATAGTTAATAATGCAATCCCATCGATGCTTGAGAGTCCAATGGACTGCAAGAAGATCAAACCGATCCATTCTTAAGGAAATTGGCCCTGAGTGCTCACTGGAAGGACAAATTGTGAAGCTGAGGCTCCAATGCTTTGGCCACCTCATGAGAAGAGAAGACTCCCTAGAAAAGACCCTGATGTTGGGAAAGATGGAGGGCACAAGGAGAAGGGGACAGCAGAGGACAAGATGGTTGGACAGTGTTCTTGAAGCTACCAGCATGAGTTTGACCAAACTGCGGGAGGCCGTGGAAGACAGGAGTGCCTGGCGTGCTCTGGTCCATGGGGTCACAAAGAGTCGGACACGACTAAATGACTAAACAACAACAACATCTATGTTTACTCAAAAGTAAGACCCATTGTGTGCAGTGGGGCTTACACCCAACTAAGTGTGTATAGCATTGCATCCTGAATTTGAAATTCCAGCAAACATTCTTGCAATAAAAAATGGTTAAGTAGCTTTGCATCTTACCCACCCTCCCAAGATGTCATGACAGAATGGCAAATTTTAAACACACACAAGTTGATTCTCCTGGCAGCCCGTAACACTGTGAATTTATCAGCTTTTAATGGAGATGTGATCCTAGATTTCCCCCATTCTGATACTCAATCCATTACATAACACTCTGCTCTTTTCACATTAGACAACCATCCATCATATGGTAGCTTCTTTAAATTTCTCCAAAGGGAGCTCAGACTGCATGGGGAGTCAGTTTATTTGCCGGATGAATTCCTATCTTATCCTTCTTCTTAAAAGCCCCAGCCTGACATTCACAGGATTATCTCATTTTTCCTAAGGAATTTTGTGATCTAGGCGAGGGTGAGAGATAAAGGCTATTTCTCCACATTTATCAATATCCTACTCTTTCTCCGAAGAATTCTGGGCATCACACATGGTTCTTTCCCTCTTTTCCTTTCAGCAACAAGTCTCTGCGGTACATTTGGTTGAGATATGATGACTTACCCCAAATCACCCAGTCAGTCAGCTCTGTAGCTGAGTGAGGTTTCAAACTCAATTCTCTCCAGTGAGTTTAATGTAGAGAAATCTGGGGAAAAAACCCTTAAGTCCAGGAAATGAGGAAACAGTGACTTTGCCACATGTCTATGATAAAATCCTCAACCTGGTTTTAGACTACAACTCCCATCACTCCTGACTGATGGGGCTGATGGGAGTTGTAGTCTAAAACCAGGTTGAGGATTTTTGTCATAGATCTGCCTGTCCTCTCTCCTGCTGAGGCAATGCCCAGCTTCTGGTAGTCCAAGGCTGGCTGGATCTAGACACATGAAAGAAGTGTTTCAGTTAAACGCGTTGCAAACTTTGTATGAGAAATCGGGTAAGCAAAAACAGGACTCTGCAGCGCCACCTGGTGTCACAGTGTTAGAATGTATAAACAATGCATATAAAGCGTTTTTTTCTTTGCTAATGTAGTGGAGTCCCAAGTCTCATAGGCTGGGTCACGACAGACAGTGCTTCATCTTAAACCTAGAGTTGCTAAGTGGCCAGGGAGAAACCGAATTTGGGCTGCTTTAGCGCTATCAGCAACAAGCCTGAAATCAGCAGGTGGAAGTTTATCACAGCGTGGAGATCAGACAAGATCACCCAAGGTGCCTGGTGCGTTGTCTATATCTCATTGTCTATACCGTAATTATCTCAGCCCTGAACACAAAAGCAAAAGGTCGCGAATTACCAAATTATTTCAGCCCCTGTTTATTGCTAGGAACACATTCCAGCCTACAGCTGGAACTGAGGCCAACTAAAGACAACTGTGCTGGACCTAAAATGTAAATGCAATTTAAAAATGAGACATATATATCCAGCAGGTTAGTTCCATTTCTCGTTCTTCTTCCTCGTGGTTTTCGTCTGTTAGTTTACCTGGGAGGCAAACGTGGAGGTTTTCTGTACAGTGTTCCTAATTACCATATGAAAACTGAATGCTTTAGGGTGCCACCATATGCTGCTTAGGCGAGTCTTTTAAAGCAATTAAAATAACATTTTTTCAGAAGCCGCTTTTTTCTTCACCAGGGAAAAACCAATAAACTAATACAGAGCCATGCAGAACATGAGGTTCAGTGGCCTGCCACTGTAGTTCCTCCTGGGTAAAGACATGGCTGGCTGCACCTCTTGAAACCCACACAACCACCAGTTCTGTGCCAGGAAAATCCAGGTTTACTCAAACCTATAAGTGGCTGGCAAGCAGGCTTTTTTGTGCTAAGTTTGCAGCATGTTTTTAATAATAATAATATTTTTATTTGTACCCCAGCCAAATCATAAAAGAGGTGATTTTGCATGACTATAAGCAGTGCTTTTTTTTTTCAAGAAAAAAACCACGGCATGCTGTCTCTCTAGCTGGTTTGGGGGGGTCACCCCTGGTTCTGGTGCAGGTCAAATAAATGCACCTCTGCCTCCTCCGAGATTCAGGAGGATGGCTAGAGCAGCTCAGAAGGCCCCTTGCAGAAACCTGTGTGTGTGCAACGATAGAGGCCTTGCTGCAAAGCTTAAAGCCTGCCGCTGCTACATGAGATATGGATTGAAGAAAAGGAAATATGAATTGACTCCACCTCACAGCTTGACCAATCAGGGCTAGGAGCAGTTAGGAGCTAGGTGGACTCACAGATCTCAAAAAACAACAAGTCTAGACTCGCACATGCTGACCAGCTTCTGTTTTGACTTGAAATGTTTGTTTTGGGCTTCTCGGAAGTACTTAAAAGCAGGACGCAGGCAGAGGGAGCATCGGCCCGCAATGGCACCCACTTGAGAGATGCCAGAACTGCACCCAGGCATTCTCCAGCTGAAAAAGAAGAAGCACTGACTCTAAGCCATGGATGGGGAATCTTTTTCCGCCAGAGAGCCATATGTAACGTTTGGTGGCCACGTTCAAGTGATGGATGGGGCCAGAAGCAAAATGGAGTAATGAATATACAGTGGTACCTTGGTTCTCAAACGTAATCCATCCCAGGAGTCCGTTCGACTCCTGAGACGGTTCCAAAACCAAGGTGCAGCTTCCGATTGGCCGCAGGAGCTTCCTGCACTCAATCGGAAGCTGCATCAGTCGTTCAGCTTCCGAAAAATGTTGGGAAACCGGAACACTCACTTCCGGGTTTGTGGCATTCGGGAGCCAATTTGTTCAAGAACCAAACCGTTTCAGTACCAAGGTACCACCGCACATAGTACAGCAGGATACAGTGGTGCCTCGCAAGACGAAATTAATCCGTTCCGCGAGTCTCTTCGTCTTGCGGTTTTTTCGTCTTGCGAAGCACGGCTATTAGCGGCTTAGCGGCTATTAGCGGCTTAGCGGCTATTAGCGGCTTAGCGGCTATTAGCGGCTTAGCGGCTATTAACGGCTTAGCGGCTTTAAGAAAAAGGAAACAAACTCGCAAGAACTCGCAAGACGTTTCGTCTTGCGAAGCAAGCCCATAGGGAAATTCGTCTTGCGGAACGACTCAAAAAACGCAAAACCCTTTCGTCTAGCGAGTTTTTCGTCTTGCGAGGCATTCGTCTTGCGGGGCACCACTGTAGTTTCTGCAACACACCCTTCTCTATCCTTTGTGCAGGCAAGAAGGAGGCATTATCAGAGTTCAAGGATATATTCCACCCAGGGAAAAACATTGAAGGAAGGTGCAAAGTCGGGTTTGTGAGAGCCAAAGCATGGAGAGAAGGGTTGTGGTTTGGAGTACTAATGGTCTTGGAGGGGCACATTTGGGCCCCCGAGTTTGAGTTTCCGCACCCTTGGTTTAAGTGATCTAAGCATGGAGGTTCAGTCTGGGCAGAATTTAGCATTTGGGAGCGGGAGCAACGATGTGGTAGGAAGACAGGTCTAATCTGATGTGTAGTAGTGTGGAGATGTGAAGGGGAAAGAATAAGCCAATGCAAGTTGCTCCAGCTGTCTGTAAAACGGTGCCCCTGGCAGAGAGGAAGCCAAGTCCCATTAGCATTGATAGAGCAGCAAATTAAATGGATCAGAGTCCCTGTAGAACGGACGCAGCCGCATCGACTCTTTCCATGAAAATGGCACATTATAGCTGTCTCGCACTTTGCATTGGGTGGAGGCAGAAGACATTGAGACATAGTGTTGTAAACAAAATCTGCCCTATTCCCTTATGGGGGACACAAGAGCCCTTAGAGTCCTTTGTAGGTTCTCCATCGGTAGGAGAAAAGAACAGAGGCCAACCAGAGAATATTGAGAAGCAAAGCAGCTAGTAAGCCTGATCTTTATTGAAGCTGTTGCAACAGGGTGCTCCCCTCACACACAGCGGAGGAGCAGAGGAGGACCCAGAACAAAGGTGTGCCTGCCCTTATATAGACATTTTAAATTCCCTGCCCTGGAGCTCAAGACCACCCCTCCATACATCATAAATACAGTACAGAAGGGCTGTAACCCAAGACCACCCCCCCACAAACATCATACCTACATCACAGAAAAGGCGGTCTGCAACAGAAATCTGAGTGCGCTGTTTATCTCCTGTCTGGCAAGTTACCTGATTGCCTTACCGATTGCATTTTCTGGGAGTCTGGCCATTCCTTTCAGATGGTAACCACTTAATTCCTGAGACAATGGGAAGGTTCCCTCACCCCCACCCTCCTGGCAGAGAAACATTTGGTCAGATTGGGAGTCAAAATGGTTTCAGGACTGTCTTCCTGTGCTGCTTCAGACATGTATGTGGTTTATACATTTATGTACTTGTTTGCTTGGTACATTTATGAACATTTATTATATATATAAGACCTTAAAATTTTATTACAATAGGAAGGTGGCCAATACAGAGTCCATCTAGCTCAGAATTGTCTGCCCTGATTGGCTGGGGCTCTCCAGGTTTCAAGCAGGGGTCTCTCCCTCCCGGCTTCAGCAGGAGATGCCAGGGGTTGATCTTTTGCCTGCCAGGTGTGCATGCACATTCATTCATCTCACATGAAGCTGCCTGAAGCTTGCGCTGTCCCTTCCTTCTTTTCCACCCTGTGCCCATCTGTCTTGGGCACAGGACTTTGCCAATACCTCCCACCTGATCCATTTAGCTGCAGATGCAGTGGAAGCGCACCTGGGACCTTCAAAGCATGTTCATAACATATGAGCTGTGAAGGCCTCGGCTTCTGCATAGCTTCTAAGATACTGGCCTTGTAGGCAATTCGTTTGGATGGTTTTGCAGAAATAGCTGGTATAAGGGCCACCCTACAAATGTGGGGTACGTGTGAAGAGTATGCGTGCATGGATCTCAAGCGCACACAGCCAGTACGTTTCCGAGCACAATTCAAAGTGTTGGTGCTGACCTTTAAAGCCCTAAATGGCCTCGGTCCAGTATACCTGAAGGAGCGTCTCCACCCCCATCATTCTGCCCAGACACTGAGGTCCAGCACCGAGGACCTTCTGGCGGTTCCCTCGCCAAGTTACAGGGAACCAGGCAGAGGGCCTTCTTGGTAGTGGCACCCGCCCTGTGGAACACCCTCCCACCAGATGTCAAAGAGAAGAACAACTACCGGACTTTTAGAAGACATCTGACGGCAGTCCTGTTTAGGGAAGCTTTTCATGTTTAATAGACTATTGTATTTTAATATTCTGTTGGAAGCTGCCCAGGGTGGCTGGGGAAACCCAGCCAGATGGGTGGGGTATAAATAATAAATTATTATTATTATATTATGATTAGGTGGAGAGCTCTGGAGAAAGCAAAAAGGTATCTAGTCAACCACCTGGCATGATGTAGGGTGATTTATCCAGCCACTCCTCACAGCTACAGCTTCTAATGTGTCACCTGCAAGAGATCAGGTAGACTATAGAGGAGAATTGCAGAAGAGCTAAGAACTTCAGCAAGTGAGATATGCTTCCCGCTACAGGGCCAAGGGTACTCCAGGCCCCCGGAAGTCTACCTTGGGTTTTAAAAATAAGATAGGCATATATAGCAGAGTTAAAAGCTAGAGAGGTGGAGCTACCAGTCTCCCCAGCCCCTGTTCTGCCACATTCACACATCAAACACACAGAAGTCCCATTGGTAATGAAGAAAAGGTTCTTGCCATTTCTTCAACTTTACGAGGATGGAATTGGATTCTAAGCCTACAAGGTGGGAGTTGGTTAATCATGGCTGCATCGTGAGAAAGGGTGGGGGGGAGCGGGAATTTGGCAAGAATGTGTATTTTCCCTGACTGTCATTAGCCTCAACCCTGCCCTCTGCTGGGCTTAAGCTTGCAGCTTACACATATTTAACTTGTGCACATGCAGTTTTACGTGTTTGGGGGAAATATAATTAAAAATGGTGCTGAAAGGGGCCCACATCTGGGGGGGGGGAGAGGGAAGGCTTTGGCAATCCCACCTGCCATTAAACCCAATGTGTCTTGACTACAGTGTAACCTTGTGTTATGTACCGTCCCCTTGCAAACACGTTGCGAGCTCTGCTAACCCAGAAGTAGATGCTCCCGGTTGCGACTTTCGCCCCAGGATGCGAGCGGAAGTCGCATGCCGGCAGCGTGGCAGCAGCGGGAGGCTCCATTACTGAAACGCGCCACATGTTACGAGCGGTTTCGGGTTACAAACGGACCTCTGGAATGGATTGAGTTCGTAACCGGAGGTACCACTGTGTACACAATTTGGGCTTTAGGTGCAATCCCCGGAACATAACCCCTGTGTAAGTTGCTGGCTTACTGTATGCAACGATCTAGAAGTGCCAGTTAGGATTGTAGGATTGCTCTGGGATTCACAGGGTCATCTAAAAATACGCACCACCCTTCAGCAACCAACTCAGCTGCTAGAGCTATGAATGGCCACCTATAGGTAGGCGGTTCATAGCAATTGCTAAACCAATGGTTATGTTTTCTTGCCTTCTTTCTTTTTTATATAAAAAACTGCAGGAGCCATCATTTCCTTGGAATATTCTGCTGGTTTTGAGATCGAGGTGTATCAGAACAGAATACTCCACACATTTCTCAGTTTGGTATGTTGCTCCTGTTCTTAGAGCTGCACGTGGTTTAAGTGGGGCTGGAGGCCCTCAGTCCACCTGGGAGAAATCAGTATTGCCACTACAAAACAAAAACTTGAGAATGGGAAGAGACAGTTTGGAGACCGGAGTCATATGCATCTGGCTGATATGGGTCCAGCTAACTGCCCCAGCTGACCCACAATTGTTGGTTCTGACTGACTTTGTATATTACCCGTCAACAGTACCCTCAGGACACAGAAATGACAAAACATACAACGGAAGTCACACTGTCATCCTATAATAGCTTCAAAATATAGCTAAAGATAAGCAATTAGCAAACATCGAGAATCCATCCCAGATATAATAATAGCGCAGCAGTTCTCAACCTGTGGGTCCCCAGATGTTGTTGGACTACAACTCCCATCATCCCTGAGCTCTGGCCTTGCTAGCTAGGGGTGATAGGAGTTGTAGTTCAACAACATCTGGGGACCCACGGTTGAGAAAGGCTGTAATAGGGGATAATATTTCCCAGGCCACACCTCTTTCCCAGGCCACACCCCTCACCAGCCTTGCCTTGCATCCTTCCCAAATGTTTTTGCCTGGCGGGAATGTGTCCTTGAGCTCTGATCGGGTCTTGCTTGTCTGGATGGAGGATAGAGAGGGTTGTGCAAATGCATGTAGAAACTACTAGGCTACCTTAGAAAGATTAAAATTTACATTGGTCTCTCCGCCCACTTTCCCACCTGGCTCTTCCCACCTCTGGCACGTGGCCCCCAGAATGTTGTCCATGATGGAATGTGGCCCTTCAGCTGAAAAAGTTTCCCGCCTCCTGCTGCAGAGGCTGGGGAAGGGGAGCTGCTTTTGATGAGGGCAACCAGCCATGCTTCTTGCTTTTCAGATGGAAGGCAAGAGGCAATGTAGTATTCTACAACTGCAATTATTTGTTTTGCTGAAAGGCAATGGGTAAGGGTAGATCTTTAAATTCTGGGTACAGAAATGTCTCATCACAGCCTGCCAACATGCGGACGATATGATTATCAGTTTCAACAACACATTAAAGGGCTAAAAAGACTAGTGCAATTCTTGCAGTGTCCAGATTGCAAGACGTCATGCTGCATTCTTTATTTGGACCAGCCTCACCTGGAGTCCTGTGTGTCCAGTTCTGGGCAGCCCAGTTTTAAGAAGGATATTGGAAGGTGTTTTAGAGGAGAGGAAAAGACATGTCTAGGAGACCACAGCTGAAGGACCTGGCTATATTTAACCTGGCGAGGAGATGATTAAGAGGTGATGTGATGGCCATCTACAAATATCTGAAGGGCTATGACATAGAAGATGCAGGAAATTTTCATTTCTGCTCCTCTAGAGGACAAGACCCAAAACTACAAGTAAAGGGGTGAGGATGTTCAATACTGTAATAGACTATTTGGGAAGGTGGTGAAATTTCCTTCATTTTTAAGCAGATGCACAATGGACACATTTTCAGTAGTGGACTTCCTAGTCCAGCAGAGCTTTGATGCCTCTGCCAACTTTATGACTCTGTGGTGAAGGTTTAGGTATGGGACTTAATCTAGCACCCATCATTCCTGAGATGAGGAGCAGCTGAGATGGGGTGATACTTGCTTTCCGTGCCAAACAATTCCCGAGTTCATCTCTTGCCACGTCCAATTAAAATCGCTGGGAAAGACCTTTGTCCAAGACTGTGGTGAATGTGGCCAGTCAGGGAAAAAGACAGTGGAGGTGCAAATAGACCACTGTCCTCACTCAATCACCTTCCTATTACAGTGGTACCTTGGTTCTCAAACTTAATCCTTTCCGGAAGTCTGCTCCAAAACCAAAGTGTTCCAAAACCAAGGCACGCTTTCCCATAGAAAGTAATGCAAAACAGATTAATCCATTCCAGACTTTTAAAAACAACCCCTAAAACAGCAATTTAACATGGATTTTACTATCTAACGAGACCATTGATCCATAAAATGAAAGCAATAATCAATGTACTGTACTATAAAATAAAACAGTATTGTAGATGATAAAAATTTAAAAAAATTCTTACCTGCACTGATGATAGTCATTGCTTGGATAGGGGGCTTTTATCCATTTCCACAGTCACACAATCAATCAATCAATCAATCAATCAGTAGCTGAACTAGGATCCACACAGTCACAAAATCAAATTAACTGAAAAAGTCTCAAAACAAAAAAACGCAAAATAGATAGCAAAAACAAAAGCACCAAATATAATCTCCAAATATCACCTCAGAACACTGCAATCGGAAATGGAACGCTTGAATTACAATGGGGGGGGCACAAATTAGCAGCGCAACAGGAAACACAGGGGGACTCAAAACGGAGCATGTTTGGCTTCCGAAAAAGGATTTGAAAACTGGAACACCTACTTCCAGTTTTGCAGCGTTCAGGTTCCAAGTTGTTCGTGAACTAAGCTGTTTGAAAACTGAGGTCCCACTGTACAGAGATTCTACCGGGCACACCACAGCAGACATGGTGACCGGGTTCCGTGTGTTGTTTGTGTTTTGCAAAGCCCAAGAACGCAGGAATTCAGGTGGCTGTGTCAAAGGTGCGTGAGCGGCAGACTTTCCTGAGAACGATACCGCGTAGCTCAGCCTCGTTCATCCAGATTGTACTGGTCGACAACAGGACCGGATCTGAGACGGGGACTCAAGCCGAGCAACTGGCCCAGGACATCGTGAAGGATATCGCAGAGCATGGTAAGGCTTGCCAGCCCCTTGCTGCTTCAGATCCTTGTTCCGTTGGTCTTGTGTGAAGCCTCCAACGCTAGGGTAAAGCATTTTGCCCTGGGCAGCAATCTGTGCCTTGATGGTGTGGCAGGGATGTGCGGATTTGTGGCTTTCAGTTTCTCTCAAGTTCAGTTCTCTACATTTCTGCATGACTTACAATAATAATTTATAATAATAATTTTGTTATTTATACCTCACCAATCTGGCTGGGTTTCCTCAGCCACTCTGGCTGGCTTACAGTACATATAAAAACATAGTACAGTAGTACCTCGGGTTAAGTACTTAATTCGTTCCGGAGGTCCGTACTTAACCTGAAACTGTTCTTAACCTGAAGCACCACTTTAGCTAATGGGGCCTCCTGCTGCCGCCGCGCTGCCAGAGCCCAATTTCTGTTCTTAACCTGAAGCACTATTTCTAGGTTAGCGGAGTGTGTAACCTGAAGCATATGTAACCCGAGGTACCACTGTAAAATGTAAAACATTAAAAACTTCCTGATACAGGACTGCCTTCAGATGTCTTCTAGAAGTTGTGTACAGTGGTGCCTCGCAAGACGAAATTAATTCGTTCTGCGAGTTTTTTCGTCTAGCGAATTTTTCGTCTTGCGAAGCACGAAATCCCATAGGAATGCATTGAAATTCAATTAATGCGTTCCTATGGTCAAAAAAAGTCCAATCAAAGCCAAATTTGGTACAACAAGAGTTTATTAACTGCTCTTTAAAGTCACACATACTTTAAAGAGCATATCAAAATTGAAGGAACAATAAATTAAGTTTCTAAACATGACAGGAAAACATTTAAAAATCAAAAAAGGGTACATTACATTTTCTAAGACTCTGGGGGACCACTCGAAGAAGGTTCCTCTTCCACTCTTTGCTTCTTGCTGAGGAACCTGTCCATGGTCTGCTGCTTCATCCGCCTTTTCAGCAGCTCCCTGAGAGGTGACATGACCGTCGTATCAAAAATGTTCGCTTGGTCATGTGCCACGTGCTTGTCAGGGTGGTGCCGCTCTGCAAAAGCCTGCACCTCATTCCACTTCTGGCAAATGTCCCTCAGTTCTTTGGAGGACAGCCGTTCCTCAGTTGCTTCCTCCTCTTCCAGCAAGGCCTGCTCCTGAACAACCTCTGACTGAAGTTCAACCAGCTCCTGGGTGGTCAGCTCGTGGTCGTGCTCCTCCACCAGCTCGCAAATGTCCTCCTCTGTGACCTCCAGGCCCATGGTCCTCCCCAAGGCAACAATGTCCTGCACCACTGTCGACTCTGGTGCATCAGAGTCACTTGGTGCCACACAGTCCGGCCACAGGCTGCGCCAAGCGCAATTCAAATTCCTCTGGCTGATCCCCTTCCAGGCCGTGGTGATCATCTTCAAGCAGGTGACGATGTCGAAGTGGTCCTTCCAGAATTCCCGCAGGGTGATGGTGGTGCAATCAGTCACCTCGAAGCATCGCCTGAAAAGCTCCTTGGTGTAGAGTTTCTTGAAATTGGCGATGACCTGCTGATCCATCGGCTGGAGCAGTGGCGTGGTGTTAGGCGGCAGGAACATGATGTTGATGAAGCTGAACTCCTCCAACAAGTCCACCTCAAGGCCTTTAGGATGAGCAGGAGCATTGTCCATCAGAAGCAAAGCCTTCAGCGGCAGGTCGTTGTCCAGCAGGTACTGTTTGACAGCAGGGCCAAAGGCAAGATTGACCCAGTCCACAAACAGCACACGTGTGACCCAAGCCTTGCTGTTGGATCGCCACATGACACTCAGCCGCTCCTTGTTGACGGTCCTTCATGGGCTTGTGGCCAGGCAACTTGGCCTCCTCCTGTGTGATGAAAGTCCTTTTGGGCATCCTCTTCCAAAACAGCCCGGTCTCGTCGCAGTTGAAGACCTGCTGTGGAACGTAGCCCTCCGTCTTCACAACCTCCAGGAGCTCCAAGGCAAAGTCTTCAGCCGCAGGAACATCAGAACTGGCAGCCTCTCCATGCCTGACCACGCTGTGGATTCCGGATCTTGCCTTGAACTGGTCAAACCAGCCTCTGCTTGCCTTGAAGACTTCTGGCTCAGCCGAGGTTCCTGGCTGTTCCCGGATGAGGTCTGTGTGCAAGGCCTTGGCCTTCTCACAAATCACGGCCTCAGTCACTGTGTCCCCTGCACGCTGCTTCTCTTCTATCCAGATGAGGAGCAACTTCTCGACCTCCTCCAGAACAGCTGGGCGGTTCTTCACGATCCTGGTGACTCCCTTGGCTGCATCAGTCGCAAGGATCTTCTCCCTCATCTTCAGGATGGTCCCGATGGTCGATGGGTTCCTGCCGTACTCCCTGGCGAGGTCCGTCACACGCATTCCACCGTCGTGCTTCCGGATGATCTCCTTCTTCATCTCCAGCGTCACCTTCTCCTTCTTCCTCTCGCCGGCCTCCGCAGCAGCAGCAGTCTTCTTGGGTCCCATGGCAGCACAGCTGTTACCTTTGTAAAACTCAGAAAAGAAAAAAAATCAGCAATTCAAACCCACAACCAAGTCCTTGAATTCCAAACACCCAACCCAAAATCCAAAACCCCAAAAAAAGTTTTAAAAGTTTAACTTACGAAATGGCTGCAAATCACCAAAGTCTTCAAAATCCTCAAATGGCTGCAAAAGAAGTTTTGGGAAAGCTTTAAAAATCACCAAAGTCTTCAAAAACCTCAACTGTTCCCCCAGCCCCTCCCCAACTGTTGCAAACCCCTCCCCAACTGTTGCAAACCCCTCCTCAACTGTCCCCCAGCCACCCAGCACACAGAAAGTCAAAACCCAGAAAATTTTTCAAAAAAAACAACATGGCCCAATGGTTACAGAAAACCATAAAAATTCAAAAAAGCACACAAGCTCCCAGATTCCTGCAAACCCCTCCTCAACTGTTCCCCAGCCACCCAGCACACAGAAATTCAAAACCCAGAAAATTTTTCAAAAAAACAACATGGCCCAATGGTTACAGAAAACCATAAAAATTCAAAAAAAAGCACACAAGCTCCCAGATTCCTGCAAACCCCTCCTCAACTGTTCCCCCAGCCACCCAGCACACAGAAATTCAAAACCCAGAAAATATTTCAAAAAAACACACCATGGCCCAATGGTTACAGAAAACCATAAAAATTCAAAAAAAGCACACAAGCTCCCAGATTCCTGCAAACCCCTCCTCAACTGTTCCCCCAGCCACCCAGCACACAGAAATTCAAAACCCAGAAACTTTTTCAAAAAAACAACATGGCCCAATGGTTACAGAAAACCATAAAAATTCAAAAAAAAGCACACAAGCTCCCAGATTCCTGCAAACCCCTCCTCAACTGTTCCCCCAGCCACCCAGCACACAGAAATTCAAAACCCAGAAAATTTTTCAAAAAACAACAACATGGCCCAATGGTCACAGAAAATCATAAAAATTCAAAAAAAACCCACACAAGCTCCCAGATTCTTGCAAACACCTCCCCAGCTGTTCCCCCATCCACCCAGCACACAGAAATTTAAAACCCAGAAATTTTTTTATAAAAAACTCATCATGGCCCAATGGTCACAAAAAATCACAAAAATTCAAAAAAAACCACACAAGCTCCCAGATTCTTGCAAACACCTCCCCAGCTGTTCCCCCAGCCACCCAGCACACAGAAATTTAAAACCCAGAAATTTTTTTCAAAAAAAACCCAACATGGCCCAATGGTCACAGAAAATCATAAAAATTCAAAAAAAACCACACAAGCTCCCAGATTCTTGCAAACACCTCCCCAGCTGTTCCCCCATCCACCCAGCACACAGAAATTTAAAACCCAGAAATTTTTTTCAAAAAACACAACATGGCCCAATGGTCACAAAAATCACAAAAATTCAAAAAAACCACACAAGCTCCCAGATTCTTGCAAACACCTCCCCAGCTGTTCCCCATCCACCCAGCACACAGAAATTCAAAATTCAAAGCCAGATTTTTTTTAAAAAAAATAAACATGGCCCAATGGTCACAGAAAATCATAAAAATGCAGAAAAAACCACACAAGCTCCCAGATTCTTGCAAACCTCTCCCCAACACCAAGTCCTTGAATTCTAAACACCCCAACCCAAAATCCAAAAAACCCAAAAAAAGTTTTAAAAGTTTAACTTACCAAACAGCTGCAGAAGAAGTTTTGGAAAAGCTTCAAAAATCCAGCAAACTCTTGAAAAAAGCTCAGAAAGGCCACCCCACCACGTGCAATGTGTTGCTCCTCGAGGTCAAGTCGCAACAGCACCTCTTCCAGCAATGCACCCTGGGTTTTAATGGTTTTACGAAAAGGAAACAAACTTGCAAGACGTTTCGTCTTGCGAAGCAAGCCCATAGGGACATTCGTCTTGCGAAGCAACTCGAAAACGAAAAAACCTTTCGTCTTGCGAGTTTTTCGTCTTGCGAGGCGTTCGTCTTGCGGGGCACCACTGTAGTTCTTTATCTCCTTGGCCTCTGCTGGGAGGGCATTCCACAGGGAGGGCATCACTGCCGAGAAGCCCCTCTGCCTCGTTCCCTGTAACCTCACTTTTCACAGTGAGGGAACCACCAGAAGACCCTCAGAGGAAGACCTCAGTGTCCAGGCTGAGTGATGGGGGTGGAGATGCTCCTTCAAGTATACTGGGCCGAGGTATGAAATGAGCAAAACAGCAGCGACCCTTTACATGTATTACAAGCCAGGAGAGAGAACTCACTGCAGGAAAATGGTTCCATGCTATTATCATGTTTCTGTCCCTTCATGTCCCTTCATTAAAACACAGGCCACACTTCACAAAAGAACCCTTGTTTGTTTCCTCATGAAAACCCACCAGGTGTGAATTTCTCATTTGGAATGTCATTTTGGTTGCCTAACCATTTCTGCAAGCCGTTTTCCCTAAAATAATGCATTGTGTGTGTGATTTTTAGCTAATCTATGTTTTGGTTTTGGGGTTTTTTTGGCACACTGTCCCCTAATATACACATTTTAGTACACATTATTTGATCAGGGAACTGCATCATGACATTCAATGATTTTTGAATCTTGAAGCATGGCTGTGTTTCGGTTCAGACATATTGTTACAGGAAGTGTGAATTAGGTAAAATGCTAACCAAATTGGGTTTATCCCCCATATCTGTGGAGGGGCCATAGCAGGAGGTCTCAGGATCAATCCCTGGCGTCTCCAGGTTAAAGCATCAGGTAACAGGTGATGGGAAAGTCCCTTTGCCAAAGATCTGGATGAGTGGCTGCCTTGTAGCAGGTCAAATCTAGCCCAGTGCTCTTTATCTGAGCAATACTAGGTGTGACGAACAAAATATTCTGGTTTGTTTTGAGGCAGCCTTTTGCACATCTCCTTCAAGGCCATACACTGAGAGACCACCACAACAGCTGTGTGTGCATGGGAGCATTTTCTGGCTCTGGGGTTGCTCATGCAAAGCTGAGCATGCCAGAGGCAGTACATGAAACATTACTCGAGGCACGGCTTCAAATGTACTGTGCAGTCTTTAGCATCCTTCCATTGTGTGGATTTGTCAAGCATTGCTTCTCAGTTTTGCCCTGCCTCCACATCATTTACACACAGCTGGGTTGTGGAACCTAATAATAATAATAATAATAATAATAATAATAATAATAATAATTATTATTATTATTATTATTATTATTTATACCCTGCCCTTCCCAGCCAAGGCCGGGCTCAGGGCAGCTAACAAGCAATAATAAAAACAAGTTGAATGAATACAACTTAAAAACAAGATTAAAATACAACAATTAAAATATTGAAACATTAAAATGTTAAAATGTTAAAATGCAGCCTCATCACAGGAGGAGAAAGGAAAAAGAAAAAAGAAAGAGGGGGAGGGGAGGGAATCAAATTGGCTCCAAGCCAAAGGCCAGGCGGAACAACTCTGTCTTACAGGCCCTGCGGAAAGAAATCAGATCCTGCAGAGCCCTGGTCTCATGAGACAGAGCGTTCCACCAGGCCGGAGCCAGAGTTGAAAAGGCCCTGGCTCTGGTTGAAGCCAATCTAACTTCCTTAGGACCCGGGACCACTAGGGTGTTGCTATTTATGGACCTTGAGGCTCTCCGTGGGGCATACCGGAGAGGCGGTCCCGTGAAGGGCTTTAAAGGTCAAAACCAGGACCTTAAACCTGACCCTGTACTCCACCGGGAGCCAGTGCAGCTGGAAAAGCACTGGGCGAATATGCTCCTATGGCAGAGACCCTGTGAGGAGCCTCACTGCAGCATTCTGCACCCGCTGGAGTTTCTGGGACAGCTTCAAGGGCAGCCCCGCGTAGAGCGAATTACAGTAGTCAAGCCTGGAGATGACCGTCGCATGGATCACTGTGGCCAGGGTGGGGCTAAAAACACAAAGAGCAACTGCCTTAGACCATGGGTAGGCAAACTAAGGCCCAGGGGCTGGATGCGGTCCAATCGCCTTCTAAATCCAGCCCACGGACGGTCCAGGAATCAGCATGTTTTTACATGCGTAGAATGTGTCATTTTATTTAAAATGCATCTCTGGGTTATTTGTGGGACATAGGAATTCATTCAATTCCCCCCCCCAAAAAAAATATAGTCCAGCCCCCCACAAGGTCTAAACGCAAAATAAATAGCAAAAACAAAAGCACCAAATATAATCTCCACGTCCCGCTTTCAAAAGAAAGTTCGAAAACCAAAACACCTACTTCTGGTTTTGCAGCGTTCAGGTTCCAAGTTGTTCGTGAACTAAGCTGTTCTAAAACCAAGTTACCATTGTACAGTGCTAATGTGCCCATGGAAATAACATTGCAGTGGCAGCACCAATTCTGTCTGGTATAAGCAAATCAGCAATAGAAGAATGATGGGGGCAGCAGGTAGAATTGAGTCATTTGCTGTCTAGCAGAAAATGGATCATTTACTCCATGCAAACTAATTGGACACCTCATCAGGGCGGTAACATTTTGTTTGGCTTTTGCAGGAGTGCCGTTTGGCATTGCAGTGAGGACCCTGCATGCAGCCACTGGCAGTAACAGGAGTACTCAAGAGGCTGGTGCTACAATTGCTGGGACAGTCGTTGTTCTGTTCCTTGTCTTGCTGCTCTTGGGAGCTGCCCTGCTACTCTACAGAAAAGGGACTTTAAGGTAACAGGACTGGGCTACATATTCAGTATGTGGTATGGTATTTCAGGAACTGTATGTACCATGGGAGAGCACACATAAATGCTCCTCTGCAATTTTTTATTTTTTAAAAAAATTCTTGCATGTAGAAAACAAGCATGTCAGGAAGAAGGCAAGGTTGGAATTTTGCCCCTTGGCATGCTAGGTTTTGATAGGATCTCAGTGCAAAGTAGTGTCCATCATTCTCCAGCAATCATATCTGTTGCTCTCCCATTTTAGTACAAAAGTTCATCATTCAGTATGAAAACAAAAACTCCCATGGAGCTGGCCTTGTGTCAGGAGCGAGCCAGCAATAAATCACAAGGAGTAAGTTAAGTTAACTCACTATTAAAAGAAACAAGGCCTGCTCAGGAGTGTCAGGCCTAAAGAGCACAGCAACTTTTCTTCGTAGGTCTTGCCCCTATGAGGCAGTTGTGGAGGCTGAAGATCTCTACCTTCCCTGAGCTGCCGAAGTCTCTTCTTCCCCTGAGTCCTTTCCAAGTCATCTGAGACTATGCCAGTGCGCCTGTCTCTGCTTCTCCCTCTTCATACTTCTCCTGGTCCTGGGAGACCAGGGGAGAGGGGAGCCTTCTAAACTAAAAATTCCCAAATGGTATAACATTCCTCATAGGGAAGTTACTCCAACCCCAGAGTGGCTGGGGCAACCCAGTCAAATGGGTGGGGTACAAATAATAAACGTTGTTGTTGTTGTTGTTGCTCTTTTGTGAACCTCTTCCAGCTCTACAATATCCTTGTTGAGTTGACCAGAACTGTACACAGTATTTCAAGTGTAATCACACATGGATCTCTATAATGGTATTCTGGCATTGGCAGTTTTGCATGCATATATATATAGTCGTTTAGTTGTTTCCGACTTTTCATGACCCCATGGACCAGAGCATGCCAGGCACTCCTGTCTTCCATTGCCTCCCACAATTTGGTCAAACTCATGCTGGTAGCTTCGAGAACACTGTCCAACCATGTCGTCCACTGTCATCCCCTTCTCCTTGTGCCCTCCATCTTTCCCAACATCAGGGTCTTTTCCAGGGAGTCTTCTCTTCTCATGAGGTGGCCAAAGTATTGGAGCCTCAGCTTCAGGATCTGTCCTTCCAGTGAGCACTCAGGGCTGATTTCCTTCAGAATGGATAGGTTTGATCTTCTTGCAGTCCATGGGACTCTCAAGAGTCTCCTCCAGCACCATAATTCAAAAGCATCAATTCTTTGGTGATCAGCCTTCTTTATGATCCAGCTCTCACTTCCATACATCACTCCTGGGAAAACCATAGCTTTAACTATACAGACCTTTGTCGGCAAGGTGATGTCTCTGCTTTTTAAGATGCTGTCTAGGTTTGTCATTGCTTTTCTCCCAAGAAGCAGGGGTCTTTTAATTTTGTGACTGCTGTCACCATCTGCAGTGATCATGAAACCCAAGAAAGTAAAATCTCTCACTGCCTCCATTTCTTCCCCTTCTATTTGCCAAGAGGTGATGGGCCCAGTGGCCATGATCTTAGTTTTTTGATGTTGAGCTTCAGGCCATATTTTGCGTTCTCCTCTTTCACCCTCATTAAGAGGTTCTTTAATTCCTCCTCACTTTCTGCCATCAAAGTTGTGTCATCTGCATATCTGAGGTTGTTGATATTTCTTCCGGCAATCTTAATCCGGCTTAATTGCATACCATACATCCCTGCATATTTTGCATGAATTAAACCATTCAGTAATCCATTGTTACATCCATGAAAACTTATTTACACTGTTGAATTTGTCTTAATGCTGCCAGCGTTTTTAAATGAACACAATTTTCACCCATACATTCAGTAGACATTTTCCAGTCTTCTCTGAACATACATTTTTCTTGTTCTCTTATTCTATATGTTAAATCTGCAAGCTCTGTGTATTCCATCAGTTTATGTTGCCATTCTTCTTTGCTTGGGACCTCGCTCGTTTTCCAGGCAGTTTTGCTTTCAGCCCTTTCCTAACCTTCTCTAGCATGGAATTGGACCCCTTTTCGCAGCTTCTGCACAACTCAGTATTGTCTACATGGGCAGTGGCTCTCCAGGATCTCAGACAGGGATCTCCCCCTTCCCTGGAGATAACTCAGATTGAACCTGGGACCTCCTGCATGCAGAGTAGACGCACTAACCATTGACAGACCCCAGATCTTCCTATGCCTATGCTATAGGCAGGAGGCGGGTGGATGGATGGAGAGAACTTGCCAGGCAGCCCTTTCCTCTGCCCTAGACTGACCTGCTTGCTCATCGCCGTTCTGCCGTTTCAGTAGACTATATAAACACATGCTGCAGATATCCAGTGGGCGTAGTGGTTGGTCACAGTGCGTGTGTGCGTGCCCCTGGCAAGCTTCCAGCTGAAGTCCCAAATGCTCCTTCTATGCGCTCTCAGGGGTAATCTCCGCTCTCGGTGTGTTCCACCAGCTGGCAAACCAATGCGCCATGCTCTGTGTGCTTGGGCTGTTCCTGTTCATTAGTGCTAGCCTTTCCCCCCCCACACACACACCAGGCAGCAAAGCTCCTGGGCCTTGCTTGTTTTCCCTGCTAGTGTCAAGCTGATTAGCATTTCCCAGCAATAAAACAGGAGCTTCGTTTAATTTCTAAATAAAACTCCAAACTTCCGTTGCTGAGAATATAGCATGCATTTCCCTGTGGTGTGGATTTGGAAACCGGGTTTTCTATTGAGACAAAATGTCCTCTCTCTCTCCCTCTCCCTCCTTTTTTTTAAAGGCAGGAGGTGTTTGGAGGAAATCTTTTTGTAAATAGAGGATCAGAGCAACCAGGCAAGGAACCTTCCTGTTCTGTGCCTATTTGCATTATCGGTTGTCCTGGGAAAATGTTCTTTGAAGTCACTACAGCCTGTTGGTTTGTGGCTATAATCAGGTGGTGAGTAAGAGAGTGAATTGAGTTTGAAATGGTCAACAACTCGAGAGGAGACAAGGGTCTCTTGACTCATTTCTCCTTATCCCAGGTTAAGCAATCATGTAAGTTATGGGACTGTCATCATCAATGGTGTTTCAGTTTCATGGTCCCTTGTTCAAACATACACACTATATATACACCCAGTGCTTTTTTTCGGGGGGAGGGGGGGTTGCGTAAGGGTACGCATACCCCTAAACATTTTGTGAATCTAACGGGAGAAGAATCTTAAAAAAATAATTTTTTTAGTTTCTTCTCTAGCACTGTGAATCGCCAGTTCCGTTGCTACCCCCAATGGCAGCCTCATTTCCTCTCATGGTGTTCCTGAGTCTCAGACAGAAGCGAGCGTTTAATGTGTGAAGCAGTGTGGAATGTGGATGTGTGGTGTTTTACTGATGAAAGTTTGGCCTCATTGAGGGGCAGTATTTCAATATGAGTAGGAAAATTACCAACTATTTTTCATCATCACAGCCAGCAAAGAAGTGTAAAGTTAATGATGACTCTGTAAAAACAAAAGATGGGATAACGGTGTTGTGCATGTTCTTTGTACTTTTGTCCATTAACTGTATTTGTTTTTCACAACTTGAACTATAAAATGGTGATTTTCTTGAGTCAAAATGAGAGTGCCCCTAAACATTTTTCTTTCAAATGAAAAAAAAAAAGCGTTGTATACACCCCAAACTGAAACTGGTTTGGGAACCATAGTTCTAATCGGAATTATGGCATCAATTTCAATTCCAACATGTGTTCTGTGTACGCAGGGCTATTTCTGTTCCCCTGCAGTTTAGCTTCTGGGGGGGGGGGGAAATGCACCAATCATCTCCCTGTGCACTGAAGGAGGATTTTACATAATTATGTTTATATTCCACACTGTTCATCTCAACGCAAAGGCCGTTCATTTAAATGTAATGCAAAGGAATTGGAGGCATGGGAGTCTTATTACGTATCATTTGTGAACGGAAAACGGCAGTGAATGCCAATTGCATTTGGAGGGCTGGTTTCCATTTCAGACATGGTGAACGCCAACCATTTCCAGTTCTGTTTCCATTGGAATTCTCTAACGCACCTAGTTCTTAGAACTATTTTAGCAGCCTTAGGAAGAGGGAAGTATATTCTGTTGACAAGGCAACTGCACCTACCCTTTGCAAGGTGTGTCTCCATGCACATTCCACAGGAAATAACACCAGCTCAGAGGAACACACTGAAGGCAGAAGTCAATCTTCACCACTGCACATCGGCTGCATGTTAGCAGAGCCAGTGTGGTTAGGGAGGCGAACAAGGGTTCAAATCCCCTTTTGAGCATGAAGCTCATTGGGTGACCTTGGGCCAGTCACTACCTCTCAGCCTAACTTACCTTGCAGGGTCATTTGTGGGTATTAAATGAGGAGAGGGAGAACCATGTATGGCACCTTCAGCTCCTTGGAGACGAAGATGGGATTTAAATGCAACCAATCAATCAATTAAACTTTATGGTACAAGGGAGTACTCACCTGGTCATCTAAGCAAACAAGAATGCATGTGTTCTCGCTCCCCACCTAGCCCCATTTGGCAAGTGGTTGTGGGAAACAATAAATCCCCTTGGGAGCCAGTGTGGTGTAGTGGTTAAGAGCTGTGGACTCGTAATCTGGTGAACCGGGTTCACTTCCCTGCTCCTCCACATGCAGCTGCTGGGTGACCTTGGGCTAGTCACACTTCTCTGAAGTCTCTCAGCCCCACTCACCTCACAGAGTGTTTGTTGTGGGGGAGGAAGGGGAAGGAGAATGTTGGCCACTTTGAGACTCCTTAGAGTAGTGATAAAGCGGGATATCAAATCCAACCTCCTCCTCCTCTTCTTCTTCTTCTTCAAGAGCCTTCTGTCTACCTTTGCTGTACAAAAGGATCAAGCCGGGCTTCCACAGAGCTTTGGGGGGACAATAGCCAAGAAGCAACAACATGAGGGTGGCATGATCAGGTGCAGTAAAGGTGAAGCAGGTGCAAGAGGCAGGGGTTAGGAAAATCCACAGGGCAAGCTTGCCAGGGAAGGAGTTCTTTTGTAGGGGATGTGGAAGGGTCAAGACTTCTCACATGACCTCTGTTGGCCTACTGGTGATCAAGAGGTAAGGTAAAGGTAAAGGACCCCTAGACGGTTAAGTCCAGTCAGAGGTGACTATGGGGTTGTGGCGCTCATCTCGCTTTCAGGCTGAGGGAGTTTGTCCACAGACAGCTTTCTGGGTCAGGACTAAACTGCTTCGGGCACAACAGAACTCTGTGACGGAAACCAGAGGCACACGGAAATGCCATTTACCTTCCCGCCACAGCGGTACCTATTCATCTACTTGCACTGGCATGCTTTCGAACTGCAAGGTTGGCAGGAGCTGGAACAGAGCAACAGGAACTCACTCCATTGCAGGGATTCAAACCTCTGGCCTCCTGGTGGTCAAGAAGCCTCTCTTGTATCTGGCTGTCCACCGTCCTTCGGCCAGTGTTCAGTGATGGTGCATAGCTTAAATCTCTGACCGTTCCCTGAGTTCAGGGCCTCCAAATGAAACCTCTTATGAGATCAACACAGAATCATAGAATTTCATGGCAGTTGTTTGTGCTGATTTCCAGTCATTTCTCCTTCTACAGATCATTTACCTCCTTGTGGAGCCGAAAAAGGGACCTGGATCTTTCAGGAGAAACAGCCGACAAGGGGTTTGATAATCCCATTTTCGACACACCATGTGACCCAGTGGTAATAATTCCACCTTTATGTAAATCATCATCTTGCAACAGTAGCTCCTTCTTCATCATCTTAGCACAGAGAGAAGGCTGCTGCACAAGTCAGTGGATCTCAAAAATGAACAGCTATGAAGTTGCACGAATGCCTGATTGCAGCTTATGTTCGTAGGGTAGCTTGCAGCAAAGCCAGGGGATTCTTTTAAATGACAGTGGGGCGGGGAGGTGGTTATATAGTAACCCCCCTCAGGGCAGGGGTCAGTCCCCTTGTATGGTGCAATGCACATTTCATGGCACTGTAGAAATAAATAATGAAAGTGTTAAGGCAGGAGAAGAAAGGAGGATTTATATTCCAAGTGCTCAACAAAGATCCTTCTGTGCACCTGGAGGTTTCCTCCTAACCACTCCCTTTCTCCTGATTCAGAGACTCCAGAATCCTATAGACCCATTGCAGTCATTGGGCAAGATGTTAAAATATTTTCTGGTATTTTAGCTAATAGATTGGCAAATATATTACCGTATTTTTCGCTCCATAAGATGCACTTTTTCTCTCCTAAAAAGTGAGGGGAAATGTGTGTGCGTCTTATGGAGCGAATGCAGGTGGGAGGCTCTGCTCAGCGCTCCCTTTAAAGAGCCGCATGGAGCTGTGTTGGGGCAGCCCATCAGTCCCCTCTCCCTCCTCCGGGAAAAGCCCCCAAGAGCCACACACACGCTCCACACGGCTTGTGAAAGGGAGCACTGAGCAGTGCCTGTATGCATCCCAGGCTCTGCTCAGCGCTCCCTTTCACGCGCCGTGTGGAGTATGTGTGCAGGTTTTTCCCCGAAGAGGGAGAAGGGCAGCCCGTCACAGCCAGGTACCTAGTATAATCCATGCAGGTCAAGCAGGTTTCATTAAGCATAGGCATATAGAAGTTCCTGCATGTAAGATGCCAAACGCGGTACATTACGGAAAACTGTAGAGAAATCCATGTGCGATCGCTTCATTAGATGCTCATAAAGCTTTTGATAAAATGCATGGGAATTATTTGTACCTACTCCTCTCTCAAAAGAACTTTGATGATGGTTCTATATTAGCACCACAACTAATAGCAAGGCAGTAGTTAGGGTTAATGTACGCGACTCTTCCACTCTGTAGAGGTACAGAGAGGTACAAAGCAAGGCTGCCCTCTGTCAATGCTACCTTTCATGTTTGCAATGGAGCCACTTGCAAACGCTGTTCAAAATAATAATAAAATCAACGGCGTTATATGTAATGGTCAATCCTATCCACTTAATTTGCTTGCTGATGATATAGCTCTGGTGGTCTCTGATCCAGAGGTGTCGCTAATGGAGGCCATCGGGGAAATTAAAGCGTTTAGTAGATTTGACTGGATTGAGAAATCAGAATGGTTGCATCTGAATGTACCAGTTGATTTACAAGATGAATTAAGAGAGAAGACAGGCTTTCAGATCTGTCCATGATATATTAAATACCCTGGAATTCACCACCACATCACCACCCTTCCACATTCTTCGTTCCAGAAGTCCAGGCTGGAATATTCCAAAACCCACCAAGCTGTAGATTTAGGACTAAACCACATGTAACGTTGAGCACATCATCAGCACACACCCCATTTGTTAAAAAGCAGCAATCAGGATCAGAAGGTAGCTTTGATTTAACCATTTACATGCACCACAGTTGCTTTCTGGATTGAAACCCCCCAAGCCAAGAAAGAGTGCAATTGTGAACAGCATGCTTACCACAGCATGCAGTTTGGTCCTTAGAATAAAGCAAAGATAGGAAAAGGTTTTGTGCAGTATAAGCAACTTTGCATATATATATATATATATATATATATATATATATCCCCAGATATCCAGCTTTTCTTAGTGCAGAAGTGGGTTATCATGTGCACAGCAAACGAACAGCCTTGAGCATTGCTTTGTGAAACGTAAGTGCTGCGTTGACAATATGGATTCATCTCAACCCATAAGATCGACTTTCTCTTCAAAGGATTTAAGCTCCAGAGTTATATTTTGCACCAGCCGCATTAAACACTCTGGTCTCTCTCTCTTCTAGGCTTTAGCTGGTGCGTGCTCCGTGGAGGAGGAGGAGGAGGCACCAAAGGAGATGGCGAGCAAAAATAGCGAGCTCTATTACATTAATCCTTTATATGATGAAACGGAACTTTGTGCTTAACATCAAAGCTGTCAGAGGAAGACAATCCTGCTATCCTGTACTTTGCTTGCCGTTTCAAACAGGCTCAGCCACTGCGGAGACCGGCTCACCGATGCACAGATCCTGCTCACTTCAGTGGGGACAGTGCAGAAGAATTCCCTGGTGATGGGCCCCCAAAGTTATTTTGACGCTGCCTTGTCTTAAAAATACTGCTTAATTTTCAAATGGGAGAGCATACTAAATTGCTGGGTGGTCCTCATGAAAATCAGAAAAGGGTCCGCTAATCTTTTTCTCATCAGTAGTGGAATATGTATCGTCACTGAATTTCAATAAAGAATGCCTATCGCACTAAAGCAATTAGAGCCTATTTCGTATCGTTTGTGCATTGCTAGTCCCTCCCATCCTTAAGGGAGAGCAATGAGTGGGATGGCATCACCCAAGAACCTCTCCACCTGCCTGGTGACTGTGAAACGTCCTCCCATCAGACGTCCAAGAGACGACAACTACCAGACTTTTAGAAGACATCTGAAGGCAGCCCTGTTCAGGGAAGCTTTTAATGTTTGATGCATTACTGTATTTTAATATTTTGCTGGAAGCTGCCCAGAGTGGCTGGGGAAGCCCAGCCAGATGGGCGGGGTATAAATAATATATTATTATTATTATTATACCCCGACAGCTCGGGGTAGGCTTGGGAGTCACAGGCGGGTGGCGCGCCGAATGGCACCCCCCTCAGTGAGGGCACCCGGGGCGGTCCGCCCCCCGACCCCCTTCCTACGCCCCTGCTTGCATGCAGAACGTCCCACATTCAAATGCTAATATCTCTGGCTAGGGCTGGGGAAGACTCTCTGGCTGAAAACGTGTCATGTCTCTGCCACTCAGAATAGACACAGTACCGAGCTAGATGGAGCAATAGCCTGGGTCAATATATGGCAGCTTCCTGCATTGCTGGACTTCTAGCTGAACTCAATAGGTTGGAATCTACATCAGAATTCTCACAGAATTTTGGAGCAGTCTCTCTCTTTTAAAGATCCTCACCATCAAATTGCTGCCTTGTAGAAAAGCACCTTGAAAGGCGATGAATTCAGGCATCCCCCCCAATGAATTCTCAGTGAGAATTCACATATTTTCTTCTTCTAGTGCTTCGCTCAGCATTGTAGGGGCTGCATATGCAATCAGGCAGTGATTTGTGTGAACAGGACTGGCACAGATAAGTTTCAATGTCACTTGCTGTTCCTCTGGCTGCTTTGAGAGAGATTATCTAGAGATTTTCTCCACAGAATTCTTAGCAAGTGCTCCCTTCCTCCCGTCTTTTACTTACGCTCAGATTTTCTCGTTTCATTTTATCGGAGTCTGACATTTGGTCTCATAGCTTCTTTGGGATTCTCCAGACGGTTTTCTGATGCCAGAAGAGAAATACGTTGGCAGAATGAGAAAGGTGAAGAGAGGTAAGGTGCAAAGGACCCTGGGTAAGATCACAGACACATTCACACATGCAAACCCAGACCTTTAGAACAGGGGCGGGGAAGCCTTCTGAGCCCAAGGACTCAGCGATACAGCTGCAAATAAAACATGTTGTAAAGTGCAATATACAAATGTGACACCAGATGGCAACAGTGAGCTATGCCAAATTCAATGTATTTTTTAAAACGGTTTTTTTTAAAAGCGTTTTTCCATGTGTGGAGATTCCACCTATGTCTTGCTTTCCATGGTGGGGAACATTTTGAGAGCTGTGGGTCAGTGATAGGAAGGGCAGAGCAGGGGGCAGAACAGTGTATGTGATTCTTACCTTCACACAATTCACTACTTTCCTGTCATGCGAAGGATACTCAAACTCCTTGACAGGAGCGAGCCAGCAGTAAATCACACTGAGCAAGTTGAAGCTGATTCTTTATTAGCAAAAACAGGATCTGCAGAGGAGTGTCAGGCCTAATGAGCACAGCAACTCATCTCCGGCAGGTCTTGCTCCCCTGAAGCCATTGCTGCGATTGAATGTCCCAACCTTCCCACAGCTGCCTCCTCTCCAGGGTTTTCCTCAAGCAACCTGAGACTGAGCTTGAGTGAAGCTAACTTCTCCTCCGCCCTCTTCATGCCTCTCCTGATTCTGGGAGACCAGGAGGGAGGGGAGCTTGTCACAACAGGAGGGGGAAACACCTGTGACTGTCCACCAGCCTGACTAATCTCTGCCCCCTTGGCCTCCCTCTTCTCATACTTCAGCTTCTGCTCCTGATTCTGGACTGCTCTCTGCCACAGACTCCCCCTGCCCACTTGTTGTTGTTTAGTCGTTTAGTCGTGTCCGACTCTTTGTGTCCCCATGGACCAGAGCACGCCAGGCACTCCTGTCTTCCACTGCCTCCCGCAGTTTGGTCAAACTCATGCTGGTAGCTTCGAGAACACTGTCCAACCATCTTGTCCTCTGTCGTCCCCTTCTCCTTGTGCCCTCAATCTTTCCCAACATCAGGGTCTTTTCCAGGAGTCTTCTCTTCTCATGAGGTGGCCAAAGTATTGGAGCCTCAGCTTCACGATCTGTCCTTCCAGTGAGCACTCAGGGCTGATTTCCTTCAGAATGGATAGGTTTGATCTTCTTGCAGTCCATGGGACTCTCAAGAGTCTCCTCCAGCACCATAATTCAAAAGCATCAATTCTTTGGTGATCAGCCTTCTTTATGGTCCAGCTCTCACTTCCATATATCACTACTGGGAAAACCATAGCTTTAACTATATGGACCTTTGTTGGCAAGGTGATGTCTCTGCTTTTTTTGCCCCTGCCCACTAAGCTCTGTTATCTGTTCAGCTTATGACAACTCCTCCTCCTAGCCTTCTCCCTCTTCTCCCTTCGACCACTCATTGTGGCAGGACGGGGCCTGGCAACACCTACAATCATCCCATCTTATGGTGTTTTCCCAGCGTGACGGATTGGGTGGGAGAGAGAAAGAAAGAGAACATGTATCCAACCAGCAAAAGTGTATGCAAGGTATTTGCCCCATTCCCTGGAGTTGATTGTTCAGTAATGTTCCTTCACGAAAACGGGAAGGAGAGATTAAAAAGGATTTCCCCTCGGTTCTTCTTGAACAAGTTATAAGCATCACTTCATAGATTTGACAGGAAGCTTAGGGCTTTGCAGGAAAGCAAGGAGGAAACTCAGTCCTCCAACTCCTTACCCTCCCTCCCTGAGCATACACACAAACCCTGCCATATCTGCCATATGAGGCAACTGCCTTACTCTGCCAATTGATAGGGCCGGCTCTGAGCAGCAGCAAGCAAATACCTCCAGTTTCAAACCAAAGAGAACCAGTTCTTCCCTCATATTGGCACTGCATTACAAGACTTCATTTTTTAAAGGCCAACAACTGAATCTTCTGCAAATGGGAAAGTGACGAAAACACACACGCAACTGTGGTTTATTGATGGGAGTCTGCCGGCAGATGTTCAGCACAGGAAGTTATGGCAACTTGATTCTCCCCCGCCCGCCCTTATTCTTTTTTACTGTTATTATTTTAGTGGCTAGAATCCCTCTTCCTTCTCTCTCTCTCTCCCCCCTTGGAGAGGAGACCTTGGAACTCATTTTGATATATATCACGAGCACTGCCAAAATGTGACAGCTACTCTATAGCATTTAAAAGCATTGCGCACCTGTCTCCAGGATAATGGCTCGCTGGAGATGTGCGGATGAAAATTGAATTTGTCTTCCAATATGTTTCTTGCCCAGATCAGATGTACCTCCTTTTCCAAACCTCGGCATGGGCTGGTTTACTGCCATAAACGGGAGCAGGAGGAAAGCATGCACACAAATGATGGGAAGGTCTTTCCAATGACCTTCGGGAAGGCTTTGGAAATGCAAGCTAAGCATCAAAAGCAGTGCTGGATCAAGGATGTGCCAGTGGGAGGGCAGAAGATGCTGTGGTCGCTTGCTCCCTCCTGATTTCAAACCACATGTGATTGGTTGGTGGGAGATGGGGCAGTTACAGCTTAGGGGGAAGAGCGTAGCACCCAAAACAGGACATGCTAGGATGGTATTGGTAATTCCTGGTCAAATCGGGATGGTTGATGAGTATGGGAAAGTGCAAAGCTAGGGTAAGAAGGGGTGTAACCTGGGGAGAGTTCCGGGGGCCAGGCAGAAAGACTTGGAGGGCCACATTCGCTCCCTAGGCCTGAGGTCACCGATCCTGGACTTACAAGGTTGTTGTAATAACAAAACTGTACACATGACACATTTTGAACATTTGGAAAGTGCTCTACTACTACTACTACTACTACTACTACTACTAATAATAATAATAATTTATTTATACCCCCGCCCATCTGGCTGGGTCTCCCCAGCAACTCTGGGCGGCTTCCAACAGAATATTAAAATACAATAACCTATTAAACATTAAAAGCTTCCCTAAACAAGGCTGCCTTCAGATGTCTTCTAAAAGTCTGGTAGTTGTTGCTCTCTTTGACATCTGGTGGGAGGGCGTTCCACAGGGCGGGTGACACTACTGAGAAGGACCTGTGCAAATGTCGTTTATTTTATTTTCATGCCAGGGAAAGCTTCTCTGGTGGCTGATGTTATAGGCAAAGAAGTAAGCCAAGCTAAAGAAAAAGGAAAAAGGCTGCACATCCTATGGCAGAGTTGGGAAAACGTGTGTGTGTGTGTGTGTGTGTGTGTGTGTGTGTGTGTGTGTGTTCCCTTCTGTGCAACCTACTGAGGGTCACACGCCAGTGGTGGGTGGAGCCAGGGATAAAAGTGGGTGGGGCAACCCATGCAAATTTCCCTTTTGTAGTTTCTGCATTCCCTTCCTCTGTATCCTCCTTCCAGCCTGTCAAGAGGCAGCATCCTAGTTGAAGGACATATTCCCACCTATCAAAAATACGGGGGGGGGGGGGCACTAAGCAGGGCCAGTGAGGGATGTGGCTTGGGGAGGGTTATGAGGGCCACGTAGAGAGGCCTCAGGGGCCACATTGCTCCCCAAGCCTGAGGCTCCCTCTAAAGTTCTGATCTACATTTCCGCCTGGAAACATTTCAGCGTTTCCTTCCGATCC